GTAGCCATAGTTATGGGGTGTTGTTTTCAAATTTTTCGGGGATTGATTTTAAGATCTGTACAAACGATTATTAACATGCCTGTGATTACAGTTACATTTACATTTTAGTCATTTAGCAGACGCTCTTATCCAGAGCGACTTACAGTTAGTAGAGGTGTGTCAGTTAATGTTAATGCAAGGAGGGAAAGGAATCATTATTCTTTGTCATCTTGTTCCAGTTCAGATTCCATTGATAATGTTGATTGAGGACAAGTAATGTTAAATTGGAATTGTATGCCATGGAATTAAGGGTTACAGGAAGAAGATGGATATCTCAGTCGATCAGATAGATCCCCCAGGTGACCAGTGATAAGCTTGGGGGTCCTCTGACTGCGCGTGGAGGAAGAAGCTCAGCTGTGGTCCTCTGTAGCTCAGCTGGTAGAGCACGGCGCTTGTAACGCCAAGGTAGTGGGTTCGATCCCCGGGACCACCCATACACAAAAAAAAATTATGCACGCATGACTGTAAGTCGCTTTGGATAAAAGCGTCTGCTAAATGGCATATTATTATTATTATTATTATAAGAAGACGGATGTTTTTGTTATTTTTATGTTAATGTGTATAGATTATAATATTCATGTAACTTAGTAATGGTTATGTATAATTGTTGTGTATTGTTGATGTCATTATGGTAACAATTTATTTGTATGTTTTTTAAATTGCGTGTATAAGAAAATGGGATAATTTTAAAAGGGGGGATAATAATCTATGTGGGATTTTTCCTTATAGTGTATATATAAAAAATAAGGTTTTGACTACATAGATTATTAGCATGAATATATAGTAGTTAATTATGTGTTTATCTTTTACTCAGACTGAGTTTATAGAGGTTTGAGAGGTTTGATATCACATAAGATAGATGACTGAGAATTTATACCTTTGTTGATTAAATATATGGAGAATCGAGTTGGATTCAGGTATGAAAGGTGGAAGGAATCAATTCTCAATTATCTAGCATAGTTTAGGATCTAGTCAGAGATGTGTGTACTACTGATGGGAGAATATTGTATTTTTATATAAAGTTATATGTGAATTGTTGGGGTTAAGTCATGTCACTTACCACAAAAAAAAAAAAAAGAGTGGATTGATATGATGTTTTTATGGTATAATGATGTCATGCCATAGTGTTGTGAGGACAGAGGAAGAGTTAAGAGATGAGTGGTTTGGGGCCATGAAGTCTACATTCCATTATGTCAAGGTAGATTAGTGATGTTTAGGATAGCATGAGTGATGTTTAGGATACTGACTTGGGGTAAAAAGTGATGAACATCAGAGACAGGGAGTGCCCATGGAGACTTGCTAGATGTATGCCAGCAGAAGGGTAATAAAGGCTATATAAGGTAGAGTGTCTTCTTTGTTAGGTAGTTCAACTGACGAAGGGCAAAGCCATGTCCGTTTGTTAGATGAACCCACGAGCTCGTGATTCAATAAATACTTGGTATGAAATCTCCACAGAATGTCTAAGTATATCCTTGCATCCTTGATTCTTTGATACCCTAGAAACTCATCATAACAGTCATGTTTGGGTGTTGCATGTTGTAATATTTGTCGATACATTTCTCTAGTCTTATCATTTGTTTTGTGTTATTATCTAGATTGAATGTTATTACCCTCAAATATATGAAACGTTAATATTTAGTCTAACTTACTGATATTGAATATTATGTTTTTATGTTGAGGTGATTTGTACCGCGTATTCAATACGCCATCTTGTATACCTGCCCTCGAGTCTTCTTGGGTATGATGCTAAAAGCTTGGCATACCTGTATTCAGGGAGTTTCTTCCATTCCTCTCTGCAGATGCTCTCAAGCTCTGTCAGGTTGGATGGGGAGCGTTGCTACAGAGCTATTTTCAGGTCTCTCCAGAGATGTTAGATCGGGTTCAAGTCCGGCCTCTGGCTGGGCCACTCAAGGACATTCAGAGACTTGTCCCGAAGCCACTCCTGCGTTGTCTTGGCTGTGTGCTTAGGTCCATTGTCCTGTTGGAAGGTGAACCTTCGCCCCAGTCTGAGGTCCTGAGCACTCTGGAGCAGGTTTTCATCAATGATCTCTCTGTACTTTGCTTCGTTCATCTTTCCCTCGATCCTGACTAGTCTCCCAGTCCCTGCTGCTGAAAAACATCCCCACAGCATCTGGCTTGTAACAACCGCAGCATGGCGCTAACTAAAACTTGTAAAATTTAATATTTTGATGGACGAGGGAGAAATAACTTGTAGTATTGGTCACGATCTGGACGTCACCATGACATGCCAATTAGATAACATAACGACAAGCCGGTGCAAGGTGCTTGCGGATATGAGACTACCTCCCCAATGAAGGCGTCACCAACCTCCTGTGGCTGCAGCTACCCCGTGGGGAGGTAGTCTCATATCCGCAAGCACCTTGCACCGGCTTGTCGTTATGTTAGCTAATTGGCATGTCATGGTGACGTCCAGATCGTGACCAATACTACAAGTTATTTCTCCCTCGCCCATCAAAATATTACATTTTACAAGTTTTAGTTAGCGCCATGCTGCGGTTGTTACAAGCCAGCAAACATAAGCTGGGAAGGGCTCATCAGGACGACTGACTGAACCGAATCCATTAGTCTCCACACTTTACTCTCAGCTGCGCGATATACGTCATCAATTTGGGCACCAGGCGTGTACGTATAGCCTCTCCCTGATTTAGTGCAGTCGTAGGAATTCGTTTGACAACTCCAATGGCAAACCACATGTATTGTCACTCCTACCATGACACCCAACCAGTCTCCTCCCACCACCACCCTCTCCTAAGCCAGTTTAAACCATATGACCCTGATTTGGCTTTGCTAGACATATCAACATGGTTGGTTACAGCACAGGTAGGGAAATGTAGCTCCTCTGTAGCTCAGCTGGTAGAGCACGGCGCTTGTAACGCCAGTGTAGTGGGTTCGATCCCCGCGACCACCCATACACAAAAATGTATGCAGGCATGATTGTAAGTCGCGTTGGATAAAAGTGTCTGCTAAATGGCATATTATTATTAATAAATGTGCTGTGCAGGAAATAAGGCTGCACAGGCAACACAGGTGGTATTGACAATTTCTGTATTTGAGAAAGCTGCAATAGAGTACTCAGCAGGTACGCACACTCAAACCATAAGGAGGAAAAACACAACACAGAATGTAATGAACAACTGTTTAATTCTATGCGCTGAATAAAAAAAACCGGCCCACAGGAGCGGTCATCATGCTGGGTTTAGAGACAAAACATCGTGGCTGTGATGCCAGAGACTTAGGAAAAATAACCCAAATAACATTACCTTTAAGTCTGTATATTAAAGATCTTGAAGTGCAAACAAATTACCCACAGCACAGACATTTCAGTAAGTTATTGTATCTTTGTTGCTTTGGGTCATGATTTTGCAGCTTCTAATGAGCAGGACCCTCATGCAGTGTTCTGTGTATTTGTTTTGTTACAACCCAACATGAAATGGAGACCGGTCATCCCCCTGAACTAGTAGGCACATGATCCTATAGGTGCATCTCAATTGTATTTCCTTGATTCCTTATGTCCTCCCTCATTGGCTTCTTCACAAAGCACACTGGAGCAGAAGATCTGAGGTTCCTCCCCTCTGATCTTCTCCCAATGTGTTTTGAGAAAGATGCAAGGAGAGAGGTCGTGAGGAATCAAGGAAATACAGTTGAGATTCACCCCATCCCACTAGCCATTCTACCTTACCACCCTCCGTCCCAGACAAGACGCCTCTAAGACACTTGTGAGAATTTGAGCATCCCCTATCCAATCCCATTTAACACATTTTCTTTTGACATGTTATATTTACTTTTCTGCATGCCTCGATAAGGTGCCAAATTAGTTTGACAGAGTATCTGAACAAATTATAATAGGTGACATGCATGACAAACGTGTAACATTGCCAAAATAATAGGAAGAGAAAAGACAATTCTATGCAGGACTTAAACACAACCTATCTAAATTAGACGAGGGCTGTATGTAGATGTTTGGTATCATTTTAAGTTACCTGAAGCTTTCAAAAGCTTAAATGGGGGAAGAATCAAAAACACTTTCCACTACAGTGCCTCAATGCCAGGGAATAACTATCCTTCAATGGAAATTAACAAGACGTTCGAATTTAGCGATTTCCATACTTCTGAATAAATCTAGTACATTTTTAAATGAAGGAGCCCCTAGTTCACCAAATAGCACTGTGCAGCTACCATGATAAGATTATCCTTAGTGTCCCAAATAGGACCCTACTCCCTATAAAGTGCACTACTTTTGACCAGAGCCAAGTAGCACACTATATAGGGAATAGGGTGCCATTTGGGACTAAAACATCTCGTCATCCAGTTAGCAGAACTGGAATACATTTGCAGTACACACAAATTAACAGAAGACACCACTTTATAAAACTACTTAAATAGTAAAAGTGCAACTGTGTTCCTTTCCAATATTCCGTCAAAGTTCATTACTTCCCATTAACCAACCTTTACCCAATTTGTGCCCGATCATTCAAATCCTCCAAATTTAGCTTCGATATTGCCATGTAACTAATGCCTATTTTGCTAAAACCAAATGGCTATGCACTTCGTTCTAGTATTCTAAGTACTTTTAGTAATTATTCTGCCATCACTTGTGTAGCTGTAGCAGGCTATCAACCACCATGCAGTGCCATGGGACAGATTTAGTGGCATAGAATCAAGAGCTTAGTCAGGACATTGTTTATCTCTGTCAGATATCAAGTACTAAATAATGTTGGTGGTTGAAATTATTTCTGGCATTCCTGTTTCTTTGATAGGAATGAGGATGTGGAATTCAGGATGAGGTTAACCAATTCAGAAGCAACTGCCTGGCAAAATTGAGGTAAAAGTGAATAACCAACATTTCGGGAAATTCCATAGAAAGGTTACAAACAAAAGTGTAACCAATGATAAACTGGCCCATTTGTCAGGAAGAAGCATACTTAGATGGCCTGCTTTAGCTAGCTCTTGTCGATGACGCTAGAAAAATAACTGTAGCAAACAGCAGCATTATACAACTTTAGTCACACAATACCAGGAGCCCTTGAGTACAGGGCAATATACAGAACATTTTAAAATAAAGAAAATGAATTCTGACCTATCCTTCCTTATACTTAGTTACGCATCCAGAGTTAAACTATAATCACAAAACCAGAAGAGTAAAGCTAAGTGTTTACATCTAGCACCATCTCTATCCTCCAAACACTACGGTGTAGAATGTGAGTAATAGCCAATATAGATCAATCCTTGTTGGTTTAAACCATAGCGTTAACAGAAGACTGATAAAGCCCTAATAAAAACAACATCTAAAGTAAGAGCTGGAAGTAAATTAAACAGAATATTGACAAAAAGTTGAGAATATTGAGCAAAAAACCACAAGCTCTGCCATTTAGAGAAGTGGGATAAATAGATGGCTAGCTGACTAGGTATAGGTATGGTATGTGTAGTATACAGGGAAGAAACTGTGACGGACCCCACTGACTATTTTGCTGCTGAAGTTACATAACAGGATATATCCAAACAAATAAACCTATGTCAGTGCTCCTCAGTTGGAAGGCTCAAGTATACAGCCCTCTACACCTAACAGAATGTTATCAAATACAAGTTCAGGAGAAAAAAAGAAACAAAACTCATTGCTGAAAAAAATACAAAAAATACTGACATCTCTCTGAAATATGATATTTATACACAATTTAAGCCACCTGGAAATAGTTTTGAAGAGATCTTGACATTTGTGTTTGACATATTGCATCATTTCCATTGTTAAAAGATATGGAAAATAAGTTGCATTCAAGCAGTCTAACCCAGTGCTGGTGACAAATATACAGCTAGTACATCTTCATTCTTTTAGTCAAAAGTAGCAACCAAAACTATTTTTAAACATGAGGCGTTGCAACTCTGTGGATCCGTCCTCCTGTTGTACTACGCAGCCACCTTGTTATCCTTCTGGAAGAAAGGCAAAAAAATTTGACAGTTTTTTTATGACTTCACTATGGTTAAAGTTATGTACAGTCGTGGTCAAAAGGTTTGAGAATGACAAGTATTGGTCTTCACAAAGTTTGCTGCTTCAGTGTTATGAGATATTTTTGTCAGATGTTACTATGGTATACTGATGTATAATTACAAGCATTCCATAAGTGTCAAAGGCTTTTATTGACAATTACATTAAGTTTATGCAAAGAGTCAATATTTGCAGTGTTGCCCCTTCTGTTTCAATACCTCTGCAATCCGCCCTGGCATGCTGTCAATTAACTTCTGGGCCACATCCGGACTGATGGCAGCCCATTCTTGCATAATCAACGCTTGGAGTTTGTCCGAATTTGTGGGTTTTTGTTTGTCCACCCGCCTCTTGAGGATCGACCACAAGTTCTCAATGGATTAAGGTCTGGGGAGTTTCCTGGCCATGGACCCAACATTTCGATGTTTTGTTCCCCGAGCCACTTAGTTATCACTTTTGCCTTATGGCAAGGTGCTCCATCATGCTGGAAAAGGCATTGGTCGTCACCAAACTGTTATTGGATGGTTGGGAGAAGTTGCTCTCGGAGGATGTGTTGGTACCATTCTTTATTCATGGCTGTGTTCTTGGGCAAAATTGTGAGTGAGCCCACTCCCTTGGCTGAGAAGCAACCCCACACATGAATGGTCTCAGGATGCTTTACTGTTGGCATGCCACAGGACTGATGGTAGCTCTCACCTTGTCTTCTCCGGACAAGGTGTTTTCCGGATGCCCCAAACAATCGGAAAGGGGATTCATCAGAGAAAATGACTTTACCCCAGTCCTCAGCAGTCCAATCCCTGTACCTTTTGCAGAATATCAGTCTGTCCCTGATGTTTTTCCTGGAGAGAAGTGGCTTCTTTGTTGCCCTTCTTGACACCAGGCCATCCTCCAAAAGTCTTCACCTCACTGTGTGTGCAGATGCACTCACACCTGCCTGCTGCCATTACTGAGCAAGCTCCACACTGGTGATGCCCCGATACCGCAGCTGAATCAACTTTAGGAGACGGGCCTGGCGCTTGCTGGACTTTCTTGGGCGCCCTGATGCCTTCTTCACAACAATTGAACCGCTCTCCTTGAAGTTCTTGATGATCCGATAAATGGTTGGCAATCTTACTAGCAGCAATATCCTTGCCTGTGAAGCCCTTTTTGTGCAAAGCAATGATGACGGCCCGTGTTTCCTTGCAGGTAACCATGGTTAACAGAGGAAGTACAATGATTTCAAGCACCACCCTCCGTTTAAAGCTTCCAGTCTGTTATTCTAACTCAATCAGCATGACAGAGTGATCTCCAGCCTTGTCCTCAACAACACTCTCACCTGTGTTAACGAGATAATCACTGACATGATGGCAGCTGGTCCTTTTGTGGCATGGCTGAAATGCAGTGGAAATGTTTTTGGGGGATTAAGTTCATTTTCATGGCAAAGAGGGACTTTGCAATTAATTGCAATTCATCTGATCACTCATGACATTCTGGAGTACATGCAAATTGCCATAATCAAAACTGAGGCAGCAGACATTGTGAAAATTAGTATGTGTCATTCTCAAAACTTTTGACCACGACTGTACAAGTGCTTAAAGGTAGTGATGAGGGAAAAACAAAAAATCTATTGTTACATATCACAATATTACTTTTGCGCTAGTTGGCTGTACCTGCACCAAAACTCCAGTATTTTTCCTTCACAGCTTGTTCTCCATCTTTTTAAATAGGGAGCCAATTTGTTTTCAGCACTTTTATTTCCATGAGTGATCAAAACTCATTCTCATACTCCCTCTTGTCCCTCTGCAGCAGACATATGGTGAGCAATATGTTTGGAACATCGAATCGCAATAGAAATCACAGTATCGAATTGCAATACATATACAATTGTGAGAATTGCAATACATATCGTATCGGCACCTAAGTATCGTGAGAATATCGTATCGTGAGGTCCCTGGCAATTCCCAACCCTAATAGGTAATAAACATATACATTACCCTGTACTCAAAGTTCTCCGAGAACTCCCGTCCTCCCTGGCTTGTTCGGTTGTATCCTCCCCTGTAGCCGTGGCCTCCTTGGGGGGGGCCGAAGGACCCTCTGCTGGCCGAGCGTCCCCTGCCCCCGCGGAAGCCTATGCCGCCCCGCCCACGGTAGCCCCCACGGCCCCGACCCCCACGCAGGGGAATGCCGAACGTTTCAGAGTTCATCCGCCTCTCCTCGGCCCAGGTCTGCCTCCGCTCCCTGCCAATCAGAAATTAGACGCTCAGCTGTGGTTGGACGAGGACGCTGACAGTGCCTTACTGAATTCACGATGGACTTGTATAGTACATGGAATATACGTATCAACAAAGCCACATTGTATGGTATCAAAACATTAGCATGGGATAGAATGGATCTGAGAGAAGACAAAGACACACCGTGGGAAACCAGAGCCTCCTCCAGATCTTTCTGCAGCTTTTCTGGAAAACAGAATAGAATATCATTATTATCACATCTTGGGCATGCCTAAGGGAAGACAATGTTGTATTGTTCATTCTCAAACTAATCTACATAAAGGGACAAAGAGGTAGCCGCTATAACAGCTTTGGCCTACCTGCTGTCATCACAGGAGATGTTGTCGAAGAAAGACTTGGACTTGTCATAGTAAACGTTAGGCGTTAGTGCCTCTCCCCCTTCTTCATCAGCGTTGCCCTCGCTATTCACTGTCTCCACCCCGGAGTCGCCCTTATCCTCCCCGTTCGCCGCTGCCTTCTCCGGCTTCTCAGTCTTCTCATCTGTAGGATAACATGGACGGTCAGATACTCATGAAAATAAAAGGAAGTTGCACACTATATTTACTCTCAATAATATACTTGGTAAATCACCAGTCAGACACCCCTCTTCACTATGGCCCATTACATTGTGTGCAGGCTCACGTCCACAAAACTGGAGACTATACTAAATCAGTCTCTTTCACCTGTGTCTCTTTTACCAAGTGTTGGTGTTGAGTCACGTGACATGGCCCCTATTTTTCTACAGTTCTCCGGTACCTTTCAGTTTGAGCTTGCTCTGGAACTCCCTGTCAATCTCCTCCTTGTTGAACTGGGCGTTGGCGCTCTCAAAGTCAAAGTCCTTCTCGAACTTCATTGGCCCGTCTCGGCGCACGTTGAAGTGGCCCCTGCCGCGGTGTCCGCCCCCACGACCACGCCTCTGAGGTGGGGGGCCGCCAGCTGGGAAACAGAGGCAGAATAGACAATGTTACCACAAGATACACGTAGTAAATCACCACAAACAATACAATTGAATAATACCACAAAATGAGTAGAATAGGTTTAACCAAAAGCAGTACACTGTGTTAAAACAGAACCATGTAGAATATTAATAAACAAAATGTGCAGACACATTTCCACTGCATCATAGGCTAGTAGATGAGAGCACAGCCAACTTCCCCAGGTATACACTGCTCAAAAAAATAAAGGGAACACTTAAACAACACAATGTAACTCCAAGTCAATCACACTTCTGTGAAATCAAACTGTCCACTTGGGAAGCAACACTGATTGACAATAAATTTCACATGCTGTTGTGCAAATGGAATAGACAACAGGTGGACATTATAGGCAATTAGCAAGACACCCCCAATAAAGAAGTGGTTCTGCAGATGGTGACCACAGACCACTTCTCAGTTCCTATGCTTCCTGGCTGATGTTTTGGTCACTTTTGAATGCTGGCGGTGCTTTCACTCTAGTGGTAGCATGAGACTGAGTCTACAACCCACACAAGTGGCTCAGGTAGTGCAGCTCATCCAGGATGGCACATCAATGCGAACTGTGGCAAGAAGGTTTGCTGTGTCTGTCAGCGTAGTGTCCAGAGCATGGAGGCGCTACCAGGAGACAGGCCAGTACATCAGGAGACGTGGAGGAGGCCGTAGGAGGGCAACAACCCAGCAGCAGGACTGCTACCTCCACCTTTGTGCAAGGAGGAGCAGGAGGAGCACTGCCAGAGCCCTGCAAAATGACCTCCAGCCGGCCACAAATGTGCATGTGTCTGCTCAAACGGTCAGAAACAGACTCCATGAGGGTGGTATGAGGCCCGACGTCCACAGGTGGGGGTTGTGCTTACAGCCCAACACCGTGCAGGACGTTTGGCATTTGCCAGAGAACACCAAGATTGGCAAATTCGCCACTTGCGCCCTGTGCTCTTCACAGATGAAAGCAGGTTCACACTGAGCACGTGACAGACGTGACAGAGTCTGGAGACGCCGTGGAGAACGTTCTGCTGCCTGCAACATCCTCCAGCATGACCGGTTTTGCGGTGGGTCAGTCATGGTGTGGGGTGGCATTTCTTTGGGGGGCCGCACAGCCCTCCATGTGCTCGCCAGAGGTAGCCTGACTGCCATTAGGTACCGAGATGAGATCCTCAGACCCCTTGTGAGACCATATGCTGGTGCGGTTGGCCCTGGGTTCCTCCTAATGCAAGACAATGCTAGACCTCATGTGGCTGGAGTGTGTCAGCAGTTCCTGCAAGAGGAAGGCATTGATGCTATGGACTGGCCCGCCCGTTCCCCAGACCTGAATCCAATTGAGCACATCTGGGACATCATGTCTCGCTCCATCCACCAACGCCACGTTGTACCACAGACTGTCCAGGAGTTGGCGGATGCTTTAGTCCAGGTCTGGGAGGAGATCCCTAAGGAGACCATCCGCCACCTCATCAGGAGCATGCCCAGGCGTTGTAGGGAGGTCATACAGGCACGTGGAGGCCACACACACTACTGAGCCTCATTTTGACTTGTTTTAAGGACATTACATCAAAGTTGGATCAGCCTGTAGTGTGGTTTTCCACTTTAATTTTGAGGGTGACTCCAAATCCAGACCTCCATGGGTTGATACATTTGATTTCCATTGATAATTTGTGTGTGATTTTGTTGTCAGCACATTCAACTATGTAAAGAAAAAAGTATTTAATAAGATTATTTCATTAATTCAGATCTAGGATGTGTTGTTTAAGTGTTCCCTTTATTTTTTTGAGCAGTGTATAACCCTATACCACTTGACAGAATAAAGCACAAATGGCTTGCCTTCCATCACAACAGACTACTTCAAAATATTATAACCCTGACAGATTTGTGACACAAATTCCAGCAGCACATAACCACAACGCGTGAATAGCGTTACCCATCAAAACACACACTACAAACCCACACAACATATCACCAACAATTTGGATAATAGAATTACCAGAACACAACTTAGACTAAACAGAGCAGCCATCGCCATCTCATTACTTCTATTGACATAAAGAGCATGTCAATCTGTGCACAGCAATGCAGACAGTCGCAAGCAATGGACCATGTAATGTAACCAGCTATGTACCCTACTACAGCACACAGGATGTGTAAATGAACATGGGCTTGACGGTTTGAGGAGAAGTCACTGGGCATGCAGTCTGAATAGGCGTGGAGCTGAGCTCTGAGAGGATGGTTAGAGCAGAGGTGGTCAGTTAACCTGCTGGCCGTTTACTGAGATCCCTGCCTTCACCTTGCGCCTGCTGCTCAGACTCTGGTCTGGATGCTTTCTGGCCCTCTGTGCCTGGAACGGTACAGCCCTTCTGTTTAGAGAGCTCGGATCAACTTTAATTAAAGAGATTTAGCCCCACACTATAGACTACTACCTTTAGAAAAAGGCACAATTGGTTCAAATGCAGAACCTCTGGAACAGAACATTAGAATCACAACAGGACAGGGGTAATTTTGTTTTTAGAAATGCTAGCTAAGGGGTTGCAGTCCCCCCAAAAATAAAACACACAGGTAAAGCGTCCGATAGGTCTCACCTGAGGCACTAAAGATAGAGTGCATAAGCCCTGCAGTGGAAGCCCTATCTACAGCAGTGGTGTGGTGTTGATGAGAGATCGGTGCGTTGCGGGGCGCAGGCCAGGCCTGGTTACTGCGGGCCCCACTGACAGTCTCACCGGTCCTCCTGGGGTCACCTCCGTCCTGGATATGGTGCTGCTGCTGGGCCTTCTGGTGGACATGGCCGGTGGCTGCAGCCGAGGGGGCCGTGCGGCCGGGAGCTGGACTCCTGCGGCCCAAGCCAGGGGCTGGGGCGGAGGGGGCCGACGGGCCGGCCTGGACAGCCTGCTCTAGGGTGGGGCTCTTCCTCAGAGGGTCCAGAGAGGGGCTAGTGCGGACTGGGAGAAAAGAGGGGTTGGGGTTACACTGGGCTACTCAACACTGCAGAGACAACAATTATTCAACACTGGCCCGTCAAGAGTCAGATTTAGTGGACATCAAACCTACATAATACAGTGTGTTGAAGACATGCAGGTTATGTGTTGTGAAAAGCATGATGTCATGTTATTTGAGAAGACGCATTCTCGTACTGATCCACATTCTAGTATTCCAAAGCAGTATTGGTTGACCTCATTGTGCTCTTCACAAGACTATACACAGGCCTAACATACATAAGTGCCACAGTGTTTTCCTTCTTTTACCTTTAGATACAAGGGTAGTAGCGGTACCCAGAGAGCGTGAATCAGTGGGGAGAGCAGCGCCAATAGCACTGCTCTGAGACTGGGGTGCAGCTGAGCTTGTGTCACTCCCAAAGGAGGAGGGGACTGATCTTCCTGTATAGGGAGGAACAGCAGGTGTAGAGTATTTAGGGCAATGGCACAAGGGTGAGAGTCCTCTTTGGATAATATACCTTCCAACTGGCCTCATTTCATGATTTGGTGAGTTCCTGACCTGGTACTGTCAAATTGAGAAACGATATAGTGAGTCTATTTGGTGTGAGAATCTATTTAGTGTGTACTATGTCCCTTTTTGAATGTCTAATGAGTGTAGGGGAGACAAGGCAAGTGACCATTGTAAGGCATAGTGGAGACCACAGTCCAACCCTCCTCTGCTCCTGTGGCATTCCCAACCTGATCCACGGACCACATGGAGACCCGCAACCCTTGGAAAGCATGCAGGACTATGTCCCTTCCTGACAGTTGGCTTAAATGTATACTAACATCTACCTGCATTCACCGGCATTTCACAGGTAATTGACTCAATGCATAGCATTAGCACACACTTGAAGGTAAAATGTGACTGACTAAACACTTAACAGGACTAATATCAGCCTTTGAACACACTTGACATAAGTATGACTGATATTAGACCTTGAACACACTTGACATTAACCTAGCTAGCGGTCACTTCCTCACCATATCCAGACCTCGTGCTGCTGTGGCTCTTACCGACACCAACGGCGCCAAACTGCGGGGACACCAGGGGGCTGGTGCTGAACTGGCTGTACGGGGGCACCGGGGCTCGGTTGAACAGGCCGTAGGAGCCCACCGACTGGAATGGCGCTGAAGCAGCAGCAGCAGCAGCAGGTGGAGGGGCCGAGCCCATGGACGACTGGAGAGGAAGGAGGAGAGAAAAGGGTGATCAAGCCAAATATCAGTACACAGCACAATGGATACACAACTATATTGCGTTTGTATAATGGAATGGCAATGCAAATTGACACTTGGCTGATTCTTGACTTTTATTGAACATGTCTTTGTTTCACATGGTTGTACTTGGTATATTTAAGCTATTTGGGGGTTGGGAGAAGCTGCCGTACCTGGACGATGGCCGGGTCCTGAGGGAGAGAGCATGTTGGCTTAGGCGGCTCACATACAGTCAGGTCCTTGATGTCACTGCCTCTGAAGATGATGTACTCAAAGATCTCATCTCGGGGAGGGATGGGCCTATCAGTGGGCCGATCCTCAGTGCCAAAAGAGCGAACTACGGAGGAAAGACAAAGCATACAGTTAGCATAAGAAGTGACATCAAATCAACGTTTATTGGTCGCATACACAGATTTGCAGGTGTTATCGAAGGTGCAGCGAAATGCTTGTGTTTCTAGCTCCAACAGTGCAGTAATACAAAACACCACACACAAATCCCCCAAAATAAAAAGAAATATCAGAACGACCAATGTCAGAGTCCGGAATATATACACTGAGTGTACAAAACATTAAGAACACCTTCCTAATATTGAATTGCACAACATCAATAAGGGATCATAACTTTCACCTGGATTCACCTGGTCAGTCTCATGGAAAGAGCAGGTGTTCCTAATATTTTACACACTGTATATACACTGAAAAAAATAAACGCAACATACAACAATTCCAAAGATTTTACTGAGTTACAGTTCATAAGGAAAATCAGTCAATTGAAATAAATTAGGCCCTAATTTATGGATTTCATATGACTGGGAATAAAGATACGCATCTGTTGGTCACATACCTTTAAAAAATTTAAATGAATATGGGCGTAATCAGGAAAAACCAGTCAGTATCTGGTGACCACTATTTGCCTCATGCAGCCAACATCTCCTTTGCATAGAGTTGATCATGCTGTTAATTGTGGCCTGTGGAATGTTGTCCCACTCCTCTCCAATGGCTGCGTGAAGTTGCTGGATATTGGCGGGAACTGAAACACGCTGTCGTACACTTCGACCCAGACCATCCCTAACATGTGTGACATGTCTGGTGAATATGCAGGCCATGGAAGAACTGGGACAGTTTCAGCTTCCAGGAATTGTGTAGAGATCCTTGTGACATGGGGCAGTGCATTATCATGCTGAAACATGAGGTAATGGCGGCGGATGAATGGCACAACAATGGGCCTCAGGATCTCATCACGGTATCTGTGCATTCAAACTGCCGTCGATAAAATGCAATTGTGTTCATTGTCCGAAACTTATGCCTGCCCATACCATAACCCCACCATGGGGCACTCTGTTCACGTTGACATCAGCAAACCGCTCGCCATCTGCCCAGCACAGTTGAAAACAGGATTCTTCCGTGAAGAGCAGACTTCTCCAACATGCCAGTGGACATCAAAAGGTGAACATTTGCTCACTGAAGTCGGCTACAACGCCGAACTAGTCAGGTCAAGACCCTGGTGAGGGCGACGAGCACGCAGATGAGCTTCTCTGAGACGGTTTCTGACAGTGTGCAGAAATTCTTTGGTTGCGCAAACCCAATTTCATTAGCTGTCTGGGTGGCTGGTCTCACACGACCGCGCAGGTAAAGAAGACAGATGTGGAGGTCCTGGGCTGGCGTGGTTACACGTGGTCTGCGTTTGTGAGGCTGGTTGGACGTACTGCCAAATTCTCCAAAACGACGTTGGAGGCAGCTTATTGTAGACAAATTAACATTAAATTCAGCATGCCAATTGCACACTCCCTCAAAACTTGAGACATCTGTGGCATTGTGTTGTGCTTTGTGAAAAAACCCGCACATTTTAAAATAATTGTATTGTCCCCAGCACAAGGTGCACCTGTGTAATGCTGTTTAATCAGCTTCTTGATATTCCACAACCGTCAGGAGGATGGATTATTTTGGCAAAGGAGAAATGCTCACTAACAGGGATGTAAACAAATGTGTGCGTATGGAACATTTAGAGGAATTTTTTATTTCAGCTCATGAAACCAAAACTTGACATGTTGCGTTTATATTTTTGTTCCATCTACACGTACACACAGTGCATTCGGAAAAGTACTCAGAGCCGTTTACTTTTTCCACAATTAGCTACGTTGAAGCCTTATTCAAAAATGGATTAAGTCCCCCCCCCAATCCACACACAATACCCCATAATGTCAAGCAAAAACAGGCTTAGACATTTTTGCTAAAAACAACAGAAAATAACTGAAATATCACATTTACATAAGTATTCAGACCCTTTCCTCAGTACTTTGTTGAAACAGCTTTGGCAGCCTCAAGTCTTCTTGGGTATGACGCTACAAGCTTGGCACACCTGTATTTGGGGAGTTTCTCCCATTCTCTGCAGATCCTCTCAAGCTCTGTCAGGTTTACATTTACATTTTAGTCATTTAGCAGACGCTCTTATCCAGAGCGACTTACAGGAGCAATTAGGGTTAAGTGCCTTGCTTAAGGGCACAGACAGATTTTTCACCTAGTTTGATGGGGAGCATCGCGGCACAGCTATTTTAAAGTCTATCCAGAGATGTTCGATCGGGTTCAAGTCCGGGCTCTGGCCGAGCCCCTCAAGGACATTCAGAAACTTGTCCCGAAGCCACTCCTGCATTGTCTTGGCTGTGTGCTTAGGTTCGTTGTCCTGTTGGAAGGTGAACCTTCATCCCAGTCGGAGGTCCTGAGCGCTCTGGAGCAGATTTCCATCAAGGATCTCTCTGTACTTTGCTCCGTTCATCTTTCCCTTGATCCTGACTAGTCTCCCAGTCACTGCCGCTGAAAAACATCCCCACAGCATGATGCTGCCACCACCATGCTTCACCGTAGGGATGGTGCCAGGTTTCCTCCAGACGTTACGCTTGGCTTTTCATCAGACCAGAGACTTTTGTTCCTCATGGTCTGAGAGTCCTGAATACTTATTTTTAAGTTAATCTTTTATTTAAATTGTATTAGTTTTTACCCCTTTTTCTCCACAATTTCTTGATATCCAAATTGGTAGTTAGTCTTGTCCTATCGCTGCAACTCCCGTATGGACTCGGGAGAGGTGAAGGTCGAGAGCCATGCGTCCTCCGAAACATGACCCTGCCAAGCCGCACTCCTTGACACATTGCTCGCTTAACCCGGAAGCCAGCCGCACCAATGTGTCGGAGGAAACACCGTACAACTGGTGACCGAAATCAGCATGCATGCGCCCGGACCGCCACAGTGAGTAGCTAGAGCGCGATGGGACAAGGACATCCTGGCCGGCCAAACCCTCCCCTAACCCGGACGTCGCTGTTCCTTGAACTGTGAAGCATTTATTGGGGCTGCAATTTCTGAGGCTGGTAACTCTAATGAACTTATCCTCTGTAGCAGAGGTAACTCTGGGTCTTTCATTCCTGTGGTGGTCCTCATGAGAGCCAGTTTCATCATAGCGCTTGATGGTTTTTGAGACTGCACTTGAAGAAACTTTCAAAGTTCTTGAAATTTTTCAGATTGACTGACCTTCATGTCTTAAAGTAATGATGGACTGTCGTTTCTCTTTGCTTATTCAAGCTGTTCTTGCCATAATATGGACTTGGTCTTTTACCAAATAGGGCTATATTCTGTTTACCACCCACCCCTACCTTGTCACAACACAACTGATTAGCTCAAACGCATTAAGTAAAGAAATTCCACAAATTAACTTTTAAGAAGTCACACCTGTTAATTCAAATGCATTCCAGGTGACTACCTCATGAAGCTGGTTGAGAGAATGCCAAGAGTGTGCAAAGCTGTCATCAAGGCAAAGGGTGGCTATTTGAAGAATCTCAAATATAAAATAGATTGATTTGTTTAACTCTTTTTTGGTTACGACATGATTCCATGTGTTATTTCATAGTTGATGTCTTCACTATGAATCTACAATGTAGAGAAAAAAATAAAATAAAGAAAAACCCTTGAATGAGTAGGTGTGTCTAAACTTTTGACTGGTAGTGTAGGTATGTCTCTTCTCCTGGTGGGATAGGGCAGTGTGCAGTGCAATGGCGATTGTGTCGTCCGTCGATCTGTTGGGGCGGTATGAGAATTGTAGTGGGTCTAGGGTATCGGGTAAGGTGGAGGTGATATGGTTCTTAACTAGCCTCTCAAAGAACTTCATGATGACAGAACTGAGTGCTATGGGGCGATAATCATTTAGTTCAGTTAACTTGGCTTTCTTGGGTACTGGAACAATGGAGGACAAGATGAAGCAAGAGGGGACAACAGACTGGGATATGAAGAGATCGAATATGTCCGTAAACACTCCAGCCAGCTGGACATGCAAGGTGTACTTTGAATCAGGTTGGGTGTAGTGTTGAGCTGGAACAAAAGGTTGGACATCCTGTGGGTCGCTTACATACAGTACACAGTATGTGTCTGTGGTGGGTGCCTACTAGGATCAGGATTATGAAGATTGTTGAGTTACTTAAAATTAGTGGGGCAGTTTTCGTTTTTCAGCCAGGTCAATGTTCAATGACATCAACCACCTTACCAACCCTCCCAACCTGGACATCAACCACCATATCAACCCTTACAACGCTGACCGAAATACATAGCTAGTCTGATTTAGATTTCAGCATAGCTACTAACTTGCTGGCACCAATTTTCCCATTCTGACGTTGAGTTGCATGTGACTGTTAGCGATGCAGTTGTCACGCCACGGCACCTTCGTTCACCATATGGCAGGGTTACATGATACTGTCAGCATGTACTTGAAATAAACATGGTTAGCTAGCTAGGTAGAAAACAAGTTACATCACCAGGTAGCTAACGGTCACTTAAAGATGCAGTCCGGGAGCTTTAGCACTTACAAATTCATAACATATCATACAAATTGCAAAAAGATAATTGCAGGAAGTAACATATATAATACTAAATGGATGACATAGTAGTACACCATTTTCTGGGACCCGTTTTGTCTCGTGAGCACTACTTTCAAAACTACTGCTGGAAAGAAATTATACAAAACCTTTGAAGCATCACTTTAGCTAGCTAGCTAGCTAGCTGGCTAGTCAATTAGCTTAGCTTGTTAACTAACGTTAGCTACCTAAACAATGAAATTATCATTAATGTATATCTGCGGACTGCGGATACTACATGCCGTGCACTACGCGTTACTACATGCCACGCCCACTGCCATTGCATTGAGGCTGCTAGCGCCGTCTCTGGGCCACACTCCAGCACAGTAGGTGGCGGTAATGCACCAATAATGTTGGATGCCAACCGCCGAAAAACCCCACCAAAGAAGAAGTAGGCCGCTAGCTAGCGACACTGTCCATGCCTGCTGAGCACTGTTTTCACGCAGTTCTCAAATCAAATGTTATTTGTCACATGCTTACATAATTAGAAAGATGAGATTCTCATGAATAAAATGGTGTCAGACTTGAAAAAATCTAAATACACACATTGAGATATTTGGCAAAATAGACAGACATACTTATATTTCCCCTATAGGTAACAATGAGACGACCTCAGAGTTCCATGCGTAATTTTTTGTTGTTGTTGATGTTTTAACTACCAGCAATTGGTTCAACGTGGGCAGGTCTCATTTCCAACAATAGCGAAGCAGGCATTGTGACATACAACAATAGGCTGGAAATAGAACGTTCAGAAGGCGAGATGGTGTGGCACCAACTCGCCTTCTGAACGTTCTCACAATAGCTCACAATAGAACTAATAGGAGCTGGCAGGGTGAAAAATGCCCTAAAATAAGGCCTGTTTTTTCATGATTACTTCAAAACTATGGCAAGCAGCTGGGAAATATAGTAATATTATGAAACAGGGCTCCACGGCGGATGCAGTGAACTAGTTGTTATCAGAAAAAAATAGTTGTTAAAAATGTAATGTGTCCAGCCTACTGTTAGTAAACAAAGACGTGTAATGGGTTCCACTCAAAAATATGTCGCATAAAGCTTACTTCCTTATTCGATGTTTGTTGGTTCCAGACTTGGTGCACTGGTACTGCTTGTCGTGCAATTCTGTGAATGTTAGCGAGGGAAGTAGCTAGCTAGCTTAATGTCAGTGGTGATGTGTAGCGGGCGCGGTCTGCAGATACAGATAGACCCCTACTAAATTATACAAAAGCTCTGGAGCATCACTATAAGCACTTACAAAATGTTCATCATTTGTAAGAATTGGAATGTGTAACATATATGAAATGGATGACGTAATGCACCATTTTCGGGGACCCGTTTTGGCTCGTGAGCGCTACTTTCAAAACTACTGCTGGAAAGAAATTATACAAAACCTTTGAAGCATCACTTTAGCTAGCTAGCTGGCTAGTCAATTAGCTTAGCTTGTTAACTAACGTTAGCTACCTAAACAACTTTTTCAGAACAGCAAGGAAACAATAACAATCCACAAAGTGTGATGAAATTGCGTTTGTTTAGAGGCATCTCTGTATGTATTCTGTTACTGCACAATAGTGCTGACAAATTATTATTTTTACGAGTTATTTACCTTTTGCAAGTGCGACAGTCGAATTCTCAGTATCAATAGTGTAGAGAATCCCTTCGTAACGAATCTCGGCCTTCGATATTAGGCTGATTTTGCTCCCGATATAAGGGGTTCCTCCACTCATGGTGTCTTCCCGGTCTTAGATGGCTACAAATTCAACTATCTCCCTCCCCACTGAGCGTTTCTTTGAAGAATTTAACCTAGGCTATTCCTGTTTTGTGCTTCTCTGACTTGCTATATTTTTGGTTATCCACTACAATATGGCTACCTCATTTTCCATCGTCTTTCTAAACACCGGGGCTAACGGGAAATCAAAATCTCGCGCTTTTTCGCCAAAGTCTGGAACATGTCTGCTAAACGTAAGCAATAAGTATATAGCTTTGATTTGCACATTAGTAGGCCTATATGTTTCCTTCTACATCTTTATGATACATGTTTTGAAGCACTACTATACGGCGTCTTGTGGAATGAAAAACTTTGAGGTGCAATATCCAGCGCAAATCTCCATAATAGTAGTATGGTGGTCCTTTCTTGAAATTCTATTTCTACATTCGAAAGGGCCACAAAGCCCACGCGCATGCGTACATTCTAAATTACGATTTGCACAACGGTCTATCATCAAAGATGGCGGGAGCCTCCGACCCACTGGAGGACATGCTCTTCAATGAGGTAGACGAAAAAGCTGTAAGTGACTTAGTGGGCTCTTTGGAATCGCAACTTGTCAGCCAAAAGACTTCGCCCGCCACATATTCCAATATCAAGCGAGAAGGATCTACGGGGGCTGTCAGCCAGTTCTCAGGGAAACTGCGTGATCAAGTGGGGTCTCTGGAGCCGCCACAACAAGGACACCCAAAAGCGGTGTTAAACGCGGAACCCATCGCGAATCAGGCGATTTCCAATAAGATTATCACCACTTCTACCTCTTCCATCACTACTGGGGGTGTTCTACACGCTGGTACCAATCTACAAACATATGGAGCCGCATCTCAAACCATTTCCACCGCACCACCAGGATCAGTAACTTTGTCTGCTCAGCCGACTAGCTTCAACAGAGGGACTGTTTTGGGTCCTGCTGGCACATCGGTGGTGACTGCTCCCAACCCAAACATCACAACAACAACAACTATCAGGACTGCTTCACCTGGTTTACAGAGTTTTAACGGTAGCACTGTAGCTGTGAAGTTGGTCAACTCGCCAGCAGCTTCTGAAGTTGGGTCAGGCAGCAGCACTGTTATAAGTACTGTCAGTGCGGGCAACTCCAATATCATTGTGTCCATGACTTCACAGCCTCCTTCTCTGCCAAACTTTCCTGGACCTCAACAATCTGCAGTGGCTACTACTCCCACTATTGCATTGCAAAGACAGCCCAACCTCATGGCCATTGCCTCACAGAATGGAGTAATAGACCCCAAGGTTTCTGCAGTGGTCACACAGGGTGCAGGTTCCCTAGGGGCCACCACCACTCAGGTCATGAACCACAGTAACACTCTCATGCACACTAAAATGGTGGCACCCAACCAGCCAGTCTCTGCTGGCCAATCAATAATTCTTGGAGGGTCTCCCTCTCCTGTTGTTGTTAACTCACCAATAAGCCAGGCACAGAGTGTGGGGAGTCCCACTCTCACAGCTGGGGTGAAACCAACGGTTAATGGAGTTGGTCAACCCACAGTGACCATCGTGAGGCCGCCCGGTGCTCCTGTGATGGCCACCTCCGTACAGCAGCAGAGACCTGGGCTGTTGGCAAGTACCACGAGGACTGCTGCACCACAGCTGGCCATCAGACCACCACAGAAGACCACCATTCAGTTACCCCCTGGATTTACCATACCACCCGGTAAGGAACCCTACTGATGTTGTAGAGCCTTTAGAAACTAGGATATGACACCCTGGAATGTTTTGACCCATTAGTCATTCAATTAAGCATATTCATATAGTCTGTAGCCTATAGTCTAGTCTGTGCTATTCACTTTTGCTTAGGCCAAAAAACTCGCAAAAGAGCAACAAAAAAGTTGACCATTTAAAATGTCATATTGAGAAAGATGTGACCGGACTGTATTTGTCCCTCAGGTATGGTGCTGGTGCGTACGGACACGGGCCAGCTGGTGATGGTGCCTCAGCAGGTTCTAGCCCAGGCCCAGGCTAAGACTCAACAAGGCCAGGCTGCTGTCTCCAACATCTCCCCCCAGCCTGGAACCCCCACCGCTGGGGCCACCAGAGTCAGCACTCCCAGCCAGGTACTGTATGGAGGAATCAGGCTAGTTGTCTGGAGGGGGGCTGGAATGGATTATATCATATTAAACATGTTTGTCTGTCTTAATGGTGTCTGTCTGTCATGTAGTGTCCACATCCACAATCCTCTTGATTGGTCCAAGTAAAGTCTAACTGACTAAAAGTCATGCTGTTTGTTTGTGGGGTTGGCATAAGATCGATGCTGCTCAGGTCAGGAATATTCTGGGAGATGATGTTGTACATGATTGTAGAAGAGCTTGTCATCAGCATCCCAGTCTCGTGAGACCATAGATTCTTGTGCCTGTGGTTAGTAGTTGGGTCTTGGTGCAGCGTCTGCTGCGGCTGTAGAGTCCCATTCGTGAGAGGCGTTCTCTGCCATCTGTCGCAACTGAAGGTCTACCCGGATGTTGTAGGGGTGTCCTGCTGTTTCTTCCTCTTCACCCTATTCATTTCCCTCTAGTGTTGCACCAGTGTGGTTTCACTTTTAGGAAATCACAACAAGTTGACCATGTATCCCGGTACTAATGTCCGTAATGACTGCTTTTCTTCATCCAATGCCCCTCGGACCCCTTGCTCCCTCTGTTCTCTGCAGGCCCCTGGTACGCCCCAGGCTGTCCGTCTGGCATCCCCTTTCCAGGCAAGAATGGCGCAGTCCCCCTCTCCCTCTAGCCCTGCTATACAGGTGTGCACTTGTCTCCAATCAAGGCCCTCTGTCAGAAAACACACACCTAATTATAGTAGCTGCAAACTACATCCTCTTAGTAGATTGTAAATTAATTTGTATGAAAGACATTTGACATATTCCAGCCCTGTTTTTATTTGGTTGTTATTTTAGTTCTTTCATTTATGTCATGTTGTAATAATGGTTGTTTAGTCTCAACGGAGCTGTGTGTGTTGTGTTATAACGGTTGTTTTGTTTCCACTACTCTATAAAAGTTGTAGTCATATTTCTGCCTGTTGTCATTCTCTCCAGAAGGCCATAACCATGGCTCCTGCGGGTGCGTCTGTTACCATGGCTCCTGCGGGTGCGTCTGTGTCAGTGAAGATGACCACCCCTCAGAAGGCCCAGTCGGTGATCACGGGGGGCCAGGCCATGGTCAAGCCTGGTGCTGTACGGCCTACTATCACCCTGAACACTCCAGCAGCCAGTGCCTCCGCATCCCCTACCACAGGAACTGCACCAGTCTCCCAGGTTCGTCAGTTGTGTTACTTGTTTTTGTCAACAGTGGTACTTTGTTACTGACACTTTGCTAGACCTGAACAGTGCGGGGTTTACCAACTTTTTTGTAGCCTAATGTCCCCCTTGGGGAAAGTGTTGTTTACTGTAAAGTGTGTTGTGATTTTTAAATCCTCTTAAAAATAAAGTTTGATTTAATATAGTTTTATAATACCAGAGGTGGTGGTGACATGAGAAGCACATTTGAATGGAAAGTCTAATCATACTGAATGACCCATTCTCCTCTCTTACAGGAAATGCAAGAGAATGTGAAGAAGTGCAAGAACTTCCTGTCCACCCTGATCAAGCTGGCGTCCCACAACTCCCCCTCCCCTGACACATCCAAGAACGTCAAGACCCTGGTGCAGGATCTACTGGTGAGTCAAGACTCCTATAGAGGACTACTATAGTTGGAAATTCTCATGAGTAGATTACCTAGTCCTTGTATCATTAACACATGCCTTATGAATTACCTATTCATGTTTATAAATTAAAGTTATTATAAAGTGTTTAGTTATGTCGTTTTATTGTCAGCAGAAGTATAGGGAATGAAAAGGTCCATGACATTTCATTTTAAAGTGCTTTTCACACTTATCGTGCCCCTCTCTTTGATTAGGATGCTAAAATCGAGCCTGAGGAGTTCACCACGAGTCTGCAGGCTGAGCTGAAATCCTCTCCACAGCCGTACCTCATCCCCTTCCTCAAGGTTTGTTTGTTTGTTTGTAACCCTTAACCCTCTGCCCCTATCATTCCTGCCCTTTTTTTTAGCTTATTGCTATGCAATTGAAATGCAATTACTAAAGTACTATGGATCAAGTTATTACAATGATGTTACTAGTGTAATTAGTGTTAATGCACAGGTATAAGAGCAACTTAATGTAAAGTGTTACACTAACTTTCATAGCAGACCTGTTGTGTAATTATACAAAATATAGACAGTAATTTGTTGACGACATTATCAATGTAACCCAGATGTGTTTCCCTCTGTACAGAAAAGCCTCCCTGCCCTGCGGCTGTCTCTTCTCAACAACCAGCAGTCTCTTCTGGCCTCCACCTCCGCTTCTGCCCTGGCCATCCCCTCCACCACCACCATCAGGGCCCGGCTCCCCGCCACGGGCATCGTCAGGACACCTACTACTGCCCTGGTACGACCCTCCGGGACTTAGACACTGGAGAGAAGCGCTGCAGTTTCTAATGGTTCTTTCTATGATAGGCCTAGTAGAATTGATTTGAGGCCGTTCTAGGTTATGTCTCTCTATAATAGGCATAGAAGAACAGACATACACACACACACTTGAGGCCATTCTATGTTATTTTATATTAGTTGTGTTTTGTCTGTTATGTGCCACTTCGCTCAACTACTGTGAGTTCCATTTTCTGTCTTCATGTTCATGTTCTCTCTCCCCATTCTCTCTTCCAGGGTGTGAGAAGAGCAGGAGTCCAGGGAGTCCAGACCCGCATGCCCATGGTCATCAGTCAGACCATACGACCACAAGGTACTAGTACTGCATAGCATCCTCTCTCTCCCCCTATGCAGACAATGGACAAGCTCGATATGACGTCCCAGTGCTCTCCATCTGTGCTTTTACTATTGTTGAAGGGCAGAGTTTTTCCCCAGCGGACACTAGTTTTTCCTACCTGATTCAACCACTCAAGGCCTGGATTGTTATTAGGTGTCTCAGGCGTGATAATGTTGGGCTCTAACAAAATGTACCAGCAGGGGATGCCCCAGGACCGGAGTTGGAAACCCCTGGTTAAGAGCACTGCACAGAGGCCTATTTACTCACCATGCTATTGAACAGCTTGTAATGATATGTCTTGTTAATTTGTCAGGCGTAGTTACAAGAGGACCCGCTATTATCCCAGGCAGAAGTCCTGTGGGCATTGGTGCCCAGGCCTCTGCCAATCAGAAGAAGCTGAATGAGCCTGGAGGTGGGACGTTCAGGTACGTTATAAGGTGGCAGGTAGCCTAGCGATTAAGAGCCAGTAACCAAAAGGTCCCTGGTTCGAATCCCCGAGCCGACTAGGTGAAAAATCTGTCTGTGCCCTTGAGCAAGGCACTTAACCCTAATTGCTCCTGTAAATTGCTCTGAATAAGAACGCCTGCTAAATGACTAAAATGTAAATGTAATATCCTGGTTCAGAGGAAAACTATTGTCTCATTGTGGGTATCTGACCCAATGTAAACCTATGTAAGGCTCTTGGCATTGTTAGGCTTATGGCGTTTTCACACATAGTTTTGAGCTATAGTAAAATTATTTGTTACATTGTATTTTTTTCATTTGGTCAGGTTGGTTTTACATTGCCAAATGTCAAACAAACAAAAATTCCTAAACAAAAATCAATTTATGATTATCATGAAGCATCACTTGTGTGTCCCAATCTTCATATTTCTTTCACTTTGGACTTCCATCAACATGCGGGAGGAAACGGCGCAATAGCCGCTCTAACTGCGACGGGAATAGGCTATATTCAGTAGTCTATATCCCCGGTATAGACCCTGTCTCCCCTAATCTTGGATGCGCTCATAAATGCGCTGCTACTCACAGAATGTTTCAGAGATATCAAGTTATGATGCTGCGTGTATTTCATCAAATGCTTGCAGTCAAACAACCAATAATACTGCTCGACTCTTGATTATTTTCCTGTGTTTGGTCCAGAATGTTCACACCTGCAGCGTACTGCACAACAGTGCGAATTGAATCGGACTGAGACCATCCTTTTTTTGCGAACCACCATGCGTTGTTTAATGCGCTTTCTAGTGTGGATAGTGTTCACACCACTCCAAACAAAACAAATTAATAGGGTAAATGCACCAGAGTTAGAAAAATACTCTCCAAACCAGTTCGGTGTGAAAGCACCCTAAGATACTTTGATACTTTACCATTATGATGCATGTAAACAGATCAACCACAGGATGGCAGTATTTCACACATTTTGAGAAAACGTTAGAGTTCAGAAACATACTAAAGCTAAATAAACTCCCGTCCCTTCATATCCTCTGAGAAATTGACTTGAAATCGACATGGTGTAATTGACTAGGCAACCGCCAAACCATATTATACCATGTTATTTAGCTTTCTTTAATGAACCAGAAAATCAAGAGATTATCTGGCCAACACTATGATCTTCTGGGGCACCCCCCTGATCTGTGTGTACTGTATGTCTTTAGAGATGATGATGACATCAACGACGTGGCGTCCATGGCGGGGGTGAACCTGAACGAGGAAAACGCCCGCATCATGGCCACCAACTCTGAGCTGGTGGGCACCAAGATCCGCTCCTGTAAGGACGAGGCCTTCCTCCCGCCAGGCCTGCTGCACAGACGCATCATGGAGACTGGTAGGTCATACCAGATGAGAGGCACTTGTTCACTTACCTTCATGGATTTGAAAGGAAATTACTGGTGTAAGACACAAGCTGCTGAAAGTAGTGGAGCTCGGCCCTGATGTCTTGTCGATCGTCAGTAAATGACTGACCACACCTTGCCGTTCCACCCCAGATAATGGCACTGATTGGCTGTCCCAATATAGTGTGCCTTTAACCCCAGCTGATGTTTTTTCTCTCAGCCAAGAGGTTTGGGGTGACCGAGGTCCCAGCTGAGACAGTGAACTACATCTCCCATGCTACCCAGGCCAGGCTGAGATCCATGCTGGAGAAAGTGTCCACTATCGCCCAGCACCGCACCGACGGGGGCAAGGTAGGAGCAGGGAGAGTAGGGGTTGTCATGAACAGAAGTACATTAACACTACATGAACAGTACATGAATAACACACAAATAACGTATGAACAACAACATGAACAGTACACAAACTACATAAACACCATCCTTCCTGTCCCTTCCTTCTCTCTTTCACTCTCCCTCTCTCTTTCACTCTCCCTCTCTCTTTCACCCTCACTTTCCCTCTCTCTTTCACTCTCCCCCTCTCTTTCACTCTCCCCCTCTTTCACTCTCCCCCTCTCTTTCACTCTCCCTCTCCTGTCTTTTCCTTCTCTCTTTCACTCTCCCCCTCTCTTTCACTCTCCCTCTCTCTTTCACTCTCCCTCTCTTTCACTCTCCCTCTCTCCTGTCCCTTCCTTCTCTCTTTCACCCTCCCTCTCTCCTGTCCCTTCTTTCTCTCTTTCACTCTCCCTCTCTCTTTCACTCTCCCTCTCTCTTTCACTCTCCTTCTCTCTTTCACTCTCCTTCGCTCTTTCACTCTCCCTCTCTCTTTCACTCTCCTTCTCTCTTTCACTCTCCCTCTCTCTTTCACTCTCATTCTCTCTTTCACTCTCCTTCTCTCTTTCACTCCTTCGCTCTTTCACTCTCCCTCTCTCCTGTCCTTTCCTTCTCTCTTCAGGATGAGGAATGGTATGAGCCGTCGACAGACGTTAGGGCCCAGCTCCGCTTTTTTGAGCAGCTGGACAGAATGGAGAAACAGAGGAAGGACGAACAGGAGAGAGAGGTCCTACTCAAGGCTGCCAAGGTACCTACATAACAGAGTACAGTTCAGTAGAGACACAGACCACCACCTGACTACATACACACCGGATCTAGGTCATTATGTTATTACCACTTTACTGCATTACCCCCAAACACAAGTTGAACTGGAGAAGTGCCCGTTAATAGCTGCGCTATTTTGAGTTGATCAACAAAAGTGTGTGTGTGTGTGTGTGTGTACAGTTGAGTGTGTGTGTGCGTGCGTGTGTGTGTCCACCCCATGGGAAGGATGTGACACCTGAAAACAGAGGTAATTAGTGGCGTTTGAACAGAGCCCACATCTCCCTCTACAGACATCATAAGACCTCCACTGGGACGTACACACACACCACACACACACTCACACTCAAAGCTGAAGATTACTTTCACAGAATGTTTGTTAGCTAATTAGACTCTTAGGAAAAAAAGTGCTATCTCTTTGGCTGTCCCCATAGGAGAACCCTTTGAAGAACAATTTTTGGTTGCAGGTAGAACCCTTTTGGGTTCCAGGTAGAACCCTTTCTACATAGGGTTCTACATGGAACCCAAAAGAGTTCTAACTGGAACCAAAAATGATTCTGGTATGGGGACAGCCGAATAACCCTTTTTTCTGAGAGTGTAGCAAACCAGTTTTAGTGGAATGATTCCAATAATTGTTAAATTTAACTGCCAATATGTCAACATTCCATACAACATCCACAGCCATACACTGGCTGAAATCAGTTGATGATAGGACTTAGACAAGTTGTAAATGCAACAAGTACTGATATTGAATCATATAATAACACTCACAGCTTCCCAAGAAAACAAAAAAATGTAGACATTGATGGTCTGTTTACATATTTTAGAGGCTATTTATACAGAAGGTTGGTATAAAACCTGTATGAACTGTATATTATGATAATGTTTTAAATAATTATATTACGCTTTCTGATATATCACATGCCTTACTTTTATTTGCCTTCATAAGTAAAAGCAGGAAGTGCATCACCTACGCCTCTGCTGCCATTCATTCCAAATAGGCTGGTTTGGATTTCTCCCTGACCACAATGACTGACATTATTATTCTGGAACTTTGAGGGTTTATGACATAGCCCCTTTAGTAATTTAATAGGATCTCTATGGTTATATTATAGTTACTATTATGAATTGTTGTTCATTCAGGCTGGATGTATCTTGTGGTTAAAGGGATAGTTCACCCAAATTATTCACCCAATGTTACATATTGGTTTCCTTACACTGTAATCAGTCTATGCACAAGGTATGACCGCAATCCATGCTTTGGTTTAGTTTCCACAGGGAAACTAAACTTGATTTAGTTTCCCTGGCACTGTTTCCACATGCTAACATTTTAGCATTTGTGGCACAAATTCCATTCAAGTCATCGGACCGATATTATTAGCATTTTTCAAGCATCATGTCCAAATAATCTGAAAGTATCTAAAATCAATTGTGAACCTCAATAAAGTTATAGATGATTTGAACATGACGCGCGAAAAATTCTAATATCGGCCCATGACTTGAATGGGATTTGTGCCACAAATGCTAAAACGTTAGCATGTGGAAACGGTGCCCTGGAAACTAAACCAAAGCATGGATTTATGTCATACCTTGTCTATAGACTGCTTACAGTGTAAGGAAACCAATGTGTCATTTTGTAATTTGAATGAACTATCCCTTTTAAATACAGTGCATTCGGAAAGTATTCAGACCCCTTCACTTTTTCCGCATTTTGTTACGTTACAGCCCTACACTAAAATTGATTAAATAAAAAGAAATCCTTTAAAATCTACACACAATACCCCATAATGACAAAGCGAAAACAGGTTTTTAGAAATGTTTGCCAATGTATTAAACATAAAACCAGATACCTTATTTACATAAGTATACAGACCCTTTGCTATGACACTCGAAATTGAGCTCAGGTGCATCCTGTTTCCATTGATCATCCTTGAGATGTTTCTACAACTTGATTGGAGTCCACCTGTGGTAAATTCAATTGATTGGATATGATTTGGAAAGGCACACACCTGTCTATATAAGGTCACACAGTTGACAGTGCATGTCAGAGCAAAACCAAAGCCATGAGGTCAAAGGAATTGTCCGTAGAGCTCTGAGACAGGATCGTGTCGAGGCACAGATCTGGGGAAGGGTACCAAAACATTTCTGCAGTATTGAAGGTCCCCAAGAACACAGTGGCCTCCATCATTCTTTAAATGGAAGAAGTTTGGAACCACCAAGACTCTTCCTAGAGCTCCACCCAGCCAAACTGAGCAATCTGGGGAGAAGCGCCTTGGTCAGTAAAAGGCACATGACAGCCAGCTTGGAGTTTGCCTAAAGGACTCTCAGACCATGAGAAACAAAATTCTCTGGTCTGATGAAACCAAGATTGAACTCTTTGGCCTGAATGCCAAGCGTCATCTCTGGAGGAAACCTGGCACCATCCCTATGGTGAAGAATGGTGGTGGCAGCATCATGCTGTGGGGATGTTTTTCAGCGGCTGGGACTGGGAGACTAGTCAGGATCGAGGGAAAGATGAACGGAGTACAGAGAGATCCTTGATGAAAACCTGCTCCAGAACGCTCAGGACCTCCGACTGGGATGAAGGTTCACCTTCCAACAGGACAATGACCCTAAGCACACAGCCAAGACAACGCAGGAGTGGTTTTGGGACAAGTCTCAATGTCCTTGAGTGGCCCAGCCAGAGCCCGGACTTGAACCCGCTCGAACATCTCTGGAGAGACCTGAAAATAGCTGTGCAGCGACGCTCCCCATCCAACCTGACAGAGCTTGAGAGGATCTGCAGAGAAGAATGGGAGAAACTCCCCAAATACAGGTGTGCCAAGCTTGTAGCGTCATACCCAAGAAGACTCGAGGCTGTCATCTCTGCCAAAGGTGCTTCAACAAAGTACTGAGTAAAGGGTCTGAATACTTAAGTAAATGTGATATTTCAGTTTTTAATCTTTAAGTTTGCTAAAATTTCAAAAAAATAATGTTTTTCTTTGTCATTATGGGGTATTGTGTGCAGATTTATGAGGATTTAAAACAAATCCATTTTAGAATAAGGCTGTAACATAACAAAATGTGGAAAAAGTCAAGGGGTCTGAATACTTTCCAAATGCGCTGTAAATGTTTAATAAGCACTGGTTTCTGACTCTTATGTCAATAACATGTCTTAAGCAATCGTAACAGGGTATGCACCTTTTCTGTCTCTCCTTCCCTCTGACCTGTCTCTCTCTCTACTCTATAGAGTCGCGCCAGACAGGAGGACCCAGAACAAGCTCGGTTGAAGGCGAAAGCTAAGGAGGTAATTGCTTCATTTTTTTGTGTTTCCCTCCACATGCCAACACATATTATCAATATTCATGTACAATATAAAAAAACGATGTAGTCCATTGTCAGCTACAGACTGGTATGCAAGAACTTCCCACCAAAAAATACACAAATTCTCCATATAGTCTATATAGACCTCTTACCTCCCCAACCATGCCACTATTTGAAGCTAGCTCTCCCCATATTATAGCTCTGCCTTGGGCTACACTGTCTGTCTTGACAGTGCCTCGCCACTACAACCCAGAGCGGGCCCCAAGACACTGAGGTCAGAGAGCATTATCCATAAAGATCAGGACAGGGGAGCTCAAGTCAGGACATGTTGAATGGTCCTGAAAGTTATAGTGCTGTGGTCAACAACCCTGGTCCTGGAGAGCTACAGGGCATGCAGGGTTTTGTTCAGCCCACCAGCTGATCAGTATTTTGATTAGCTCAATCACGTGTTCGTGCTGGGCTGGAACAAAGACGTACAAGCCCAGTCGCTCCCCAGGAGGAGGGTTGGCCACCCCTGGTTTAACGCCTAGTGGGCCAAAAACCAAAACACCTCTGGTTTGTATTATCTCTTTCTAATTGGGGACTAATTCAGACCTTGGACATCAGGTGAATGGACTCCCTGTCCAATCAATCAGTGACATCAATAAATCATTACTACTACCAGGTAGAAAGAAAACCATCAGTCCTTTGGCCCTCCAGGCCTCTGGCCTGTGTGATGGACTAGTTTCAGGATGTGCAGAGAGGCATAACCTGGTTCTGCCTCTACCATTTCATCACTCAGACAGACAGACAGGGACCTGACCTGAGGCAACGTTGGCTAGGCCTACAGAGCCCCACTCTGCCTTGTGACCTCATAATGCCTGAAGATACAATGCCCCTTTCACACACTCACGCTAGCCTGATTCAGGCCGTTGGCTTCTTGGCACTGTAACTTTCTCTATTCCAGCTTTTATGCTACCAATGATAGATCCTGTTCAGGGTGTAAATCAGACAGGAGAGTATAAATGTCTGTGTCTCTCTCTGTCTTTCAGATGCAGCAGGCAGAGCAGGCCCAGATCCGTCAGCGTGAAGCCAACCTCACTGCCCTGGCTGCCATCGGGCCCCGCAAGAAACGCAAGATGGACTCGCCAGGGAGCTCCACATCGGGCACAGAGGTAAGGGTGCTAAAATGTTGCATTATGAATATCCTAGTCATGTGTTTATATTCTAAGTTGACAGATATCCTCATTCCCCAATTACTTTCACCATCTGACTTTCCATCACATTTGAAGAAAACATTATTATTTTTTAAGTGGGGATAACTTCGCTCACTCTACTCCTCTGTCATCAGTACACACAAACACATACACCCCACCCCTTTCTATCCAGCAGCGTGAATGTGACCAGAGTTGAGTGAAGGGGGTCAGCGTGTGCCTCTAGGCTTGTTGTGGGTGTCTGCACTGCTCTACCCACTCCAAGCCCCCCTCCTCTCACCCCCTGAGGGGAGCCATAGATTTCAGCTCTGCAGAAATAAGCCTGAGGGGGGAACACAGCCCGGGGCGGCTGCAGTATGGGCGCCTCAGTCACGCCACCTTCCACCCCCACCCACTTCCAGCCCAGAGGTCTCCCTCCAGCGATCCCAGACAAAGGGGGCTCTGTGCGGGGTGAGAACCTGGTATTAGGAGAGGGAGGGAATGCAAGTGAGGGAACATTGTAGGGAAGGGGCGGGTGTAATCATGAACTTTGACAGATGCCTCAGCGTGAAAGGGATGGTGAATTGCTAAGCTATATGAACGGCTAGCAAGCTAGTCAGTCAATCAGTTGATAGGTTAGCCAGTTGGGGAGCTAGTCAGGAAGTTGGCTAGTCTTTCAAATCAGCGAGCTGAATTTGTTGCTAGCTTGTTTGTAAGATGGGTATGTTGGACTACAGTCATACAGTTAGTTGTTAGCTAGATAGCTGGATAGTTAGCAAGTCAACAAGGTAGTCCCTTATGGGCTGTTTATTTTCTACCGTAGCTAATAAGTTAGAAAAGCAGAAAGGTTGCCTGACTCCTTTGTTAGCCGTTCCTCATACATACCCAAACGGCCTGAGGGGCTCATGGCAGGCTGATGTGTCTATATCTCAAGCCTGATCACGCCTGCAGATGGGAGCTAAGGGGCCTGCTGGGGCTGCATGGGGATCCAACCTCAGGGCAGAGTAGTTACAAAGAAAGCTGCTCAGAGACGAGAAGACTACAAGATGAACAATTATTTGTAATGTGTTCCAAAAAAACCTGATGAAAGCTAAGGGCCGAAACACATTGGGTTTTATCAATAGTTTATCAACTTCCACTGCCCTCCAAGACTTGCTGAATTTCCTATTCACTTCAATGTGCTCCAGCTTCCCATGTGAAAGGGAGTTCCCTGAGCAGACCGATCACCGTTATATCACAAGAGGATCTTTGACCGATTTTAGTCAGAAGAGCAGTGATCTCGTGCTATCCATCATGCTTGATTGGAGTGGGTGATTGTAGCGTCTCGTTGGAGACTCCACTGGGTGTGTAACGTTGGGGGCGTTCATTGTGCCAGTATGGAGTACACACCCTTGGGCATAGGGTGTGTGCGTGTTTGTGTGCAGGAGGTTACCACGCCTGCAGGCGGTTAAGCTGTATAATGCTCTGATTGTGTTCCTGTATGGACCTGGAGCCTCATTCCTATCCTCTAGTGTCAGCTCTCTCCTCAGGCTCTCAGAACAGAGAAGTAGAATATACACTCAATTTATATAATAGGAACCACTATTGGCTCACAAAACAACCATTACATACAGTGCCTTCAGAAAGTATTCATACCCCTTGACTTATTCCAAATTTTGTTGTGTTACAGCCTGAATTCTAAATGGATGAAATATATTTTACACACAATACCTCATAATGACAAAGTAAAAATATGTTTTTAGAAATATTTTCAAATGTATTGAAAATGTAATACAGAAATATTGAATTTACAAAAGTATTCACACCCGAGTCAATACTTTGTAGAAGCACCTTTGGCCGATTACAGCTGAGAGTCTTTGGGTAAGTCTCTTAAGAGCTTTGCACACCTGGATTATACAGTATTTGCCCATCATTCTTTAAAAAATATATTCTGTCAAGTTGATTGTTGATCATTGCTAGACAGCCATTCTCAAGTCTTGCAATAGATCTTCAAGCAGATTTAAGTCAAAACTATAACTAGGCCACTCAGAAAGATTTAATGTTGTCTTGGTAAGCAACTCCAGTGTAGATTGGGCCTTGTGTTGTAGGTTATGATTCTCCCAGTGTCTGTTGGAAAGCAGACGGAGCCAGGTTTTCCTTTAGGATTTTGCCTGTGTTTATCGCTGTATTCCATTTATTTTTATCCTAAAAAACTCCCTAGTGACTAGTCCTTGCCGATGACAAGCATACCCATAACATGATGCAGCCACCACTATGCTTGAAAATATGAAGAGTGGTACTCTGTGATGTGTAGTGTTGGATTTGCCCCAAACATAACGCTTTGTGTTCAGGACAAAGTTTTTGCAGTATTACTTTAGTGCCTTGTTGCGAACAGGATGCATGTTTTGGAATATTTGTATTCTATAAAGAAGTCCTTCTTTTCACTCTGTCATTTAGGTTAGTATTGTGGAGTAACTACAATGTTGTTGATCCATCCTCAGTTTTCTCCTATCACAACCATTAAACTCTGTAACTGTTTTAAAGTCACCATTGCCCTCATGGTGAAATCACTGAGCAGTTTCCTTCCTCTCTGGCAACTGAGTTAGAAAGGATGTCTGTATCTTTTTTGTGACTGGGTGTATTGATACACCATCCAAAGCCTAATTAATAACCACCATGCTCAAAGGGATATTCAGCGTCTGCTTTTTTATGTCTGCCAATCGGTGCCTTTCTTTGTGAGGCATTTAAAAACCTCCCTGGTCTTTTTGGTTGAATCAGGGCTTGAAATTCACTACCTCACGACCTTACAGGTAACTGTATGTGTGGGGTACAGAGATGGGTTTAGTCATTCAAAAATCATATCACTATTATTGAACACTGAATGAGTCCATGCAACTTATTATGTGATTTGTTAAGTCCGCTTTTACTTATTTAGGCTTGCCATAAGAAAGGGTTTGAATACTTATTGACTCAAGACATTTCAACTTTACATTTGTTATTAATTTCTAAAATATTCTACAAACTAAATTCCACTTTGACATTATGGGTTATTGTGTGTAGGTCAGTGACACAAAATCTCATTTTAATCCATTTAAAATTCAGGCTGTAACAACAAAATGTGGAAAAAGTAAAGGGGTGTGAATACATTCTGAAGGCACTGTAAAACGGACATTTTGAAGTTTTTTCCCCCCTAGTGATTCTAAATAGTCCTAACCACTTATTTCACCATACACCACCACAGGGTTATTGGGTTAGACACTGAGTTCACTAAGACGTACAATTTCCTCACCCAATCAAACAAGCCTCACGACATTTCAGGAGTATGCAAAACAATGCATCAATTCAAGCCACACCGTTTGATATCACATTGGTAATGGCTGTTTTCAAGTATTTTTTTAGGTGGTGTAGAATCTTGAAAGCTTTTTCAGCGTGTTGGAGCCGTAGGGTAAGGGTGTGACCGTTTCCCTCAGGCTGTGCACACACCTTGTATGAAACTGTGGTGATGCACGCACAAGCCTGGGCTGTGAGAGCTGAATTGACATTTCTCTAGTTAGTAAGACTGCATCGCTTGTTCCCTGCCTGCATTACTATTGCTTGAACCTACTTGTTTTAATACACATTGCCAACACAGATATTTTAAGTCACTTAAAACAACCCTAAATCACTTACTAGTAGATGTAACTTTTGTAATGTCGTCCCTTTGTCCTCAGGTTGCTTCGGGTTCAGGGGACGGCTCTTCCACAGCCGTCTCCTCCCGCCAACAGCTCCGTCAGCGGATCACGCGAGTCAACCTCAGGGACTTTATCTTCTGCCTGGAGCAGGAGAGGGCCACATCCAGGTCCTTACTGCTCTATAAGGCTCTCCTGAAGTAGTGAAGTCCCCCAGGGTTCAGTACTCAGTTAATTACACATTCTTACTGTTCTACACAGCTCTCCTGAAGTAATGGGGGTCCCACAAGGTTCAGTACTCAGCCCATTACAAATCCTTACTGTTCTTCACAGCTCTCCTAAAGTATGGCGTCCTACGGGGTTTAGTATTCAGCCGGCCCGTTACAAATCCATAAGGGTTCTTTACTCGACCCGATATAAATCCCTACTGTTCTACACAGCTCTCCTGAAGTAGGGCGTCCAACAGGGCTCTGTACTAGGCCCATAACACATTTGTGATAAGTAAAGTTTCCCCTTAGCCCCCATCTCTACACACGCCCTCATTCCCATACCACACTATCATATAGCCCCCCCATCTCTACACACACACACACTCATTCCCATACCACACTATCATATAGCCCCCCCATCTCTACACACACACACTCATTCCCATACCACACTATCATATAGCCCCCCCATCTCTACACACGCCCTCATTCCCATACCACACTATCATATAGCCCCCCCATCTCTACACACACACACTCATTCCCATACCACACTATCATATAGCCCCCCCATCTCTACACACGCCCTCATTCCCATACCACACTATCATATAGCCCCCCCATCTCTACACACACGCCCTCATTCCCATATTACACTATCATATAGCCCCCCCATCTCTACACACACGCCCTCATTCCCATACCACACTATCATATAGCCCCCCCATCTCTACACACACGCCCTCATTCCCATACCACACTATCATATAGCCCCCCCATCTCTACACACGCCCTCATTCCCATACCACACTATCATATAGCCCCCCCATCTCTACACACACACCCTCATTCCCATACCACACTATCATATAGCCCCCCCCATCTCTACACACGCCCTCATTCCCATACCACACTATCATATAGCCCCCCCATCTCTACACACACCCTCATTCCCATACCACACTATCATATAGCCCCCCCATCTCTACACACGCCCTCATTCCCATACCACACTATCATATAGCCCCCCCATCTCTACACACACACCCTCATTCCCATACCACACTATCATATAGCCCCCCCATCTCTACACACACACACTCATTCCCCTACCACACTATCATATAGCCCCCCCATCTCTACACACGCCCTCATTCCCATACCACACTATCATATAGCCCCCCCATCTCTACACACACACACTCATTCCCATACCACACTATCATATAGCCCCCCCATCTCTACACACACACACTCATTCCCATACCACACTATCATATAGCCCCCCCATCTCTACACACGCCCTCATTCCCATACCACACTATCATATAGCCCCCCCATCTCTACACACACACCCTCATTCCCATACCACACTATCATATAGCCCCCCCCATCTCTACACACGCCCTCATTCCCATACCACACTATCATATAGCCCCCCCATCTCTACACACACACACTCATTCCCATACCACACTATCATATAGCCCCCCCATCTCTACACACGCCCTCATTCCCATACCACACTATCATATAGCCCCCCCATCTCTACACACGCCCTCATTCCCATACCACACTATCATATAGCCCCCCCATCTCTACACACACACACTCATTCCCATACCACACTATCATATAGCCCCCCCATCTCTACACACGCCCTCATTCCCATACCACACTATCATATAGCCCCCCCATCTCTACACACACACCCTCATTCCCATACCACACTATCATATAGCCCCCCCATCTCTACACACGCCCTCATTCCCATACCACACTATCATATAGCCCCCCCATCTCTACACACACACACTCATTCCCATATTACACTATCATATATCACCCCTCGCATCTGATGCTAAGCAACCCCACGCCACCCTAACGTTGCTCCTAGATCATACTGCCCCTTAGGACAGGTACACTGCTGGCCACATCCTTGTTTTTACATCACGTCTAGTCTCATTCACTATCTGTGTGCTTTACAATGCTGAGAGCCTAGAAGCTGGCAGGCGGCCACTCAACTCTATTTAGATTTTTTGACCATGGCTCCTACTATGTACCTCAAGATGCCTTTTGAGTCTCTGTCCCAATCCATTGTGTCATTCTCAAACAACCTACAGTAGTAATATTTATGTCAGGGTCCTTGCTATTTTAGCCTAATGGCTCCTCACTAAGGATGTTACATCACATCGTATAGACTTGGACCAACAGGATTGTTTGGTCACCGTGGTCAGGATCTGTGCTCTCCAGGGGCCTTATTTATCAACTGGGCGTACATTTCTTACTAAATTCTGGCGTATGTGGAGATTGTAGGATTTATCAAACTGTCGCACGCAACATATACCCATGTTTTTATTGATAAATCAGAACCTAATTATATTTTTGGGCTTGGAACGAGCGCTACAACCTACAACCTGGAAAACGCCTTTTATTCACCTTTTATGCTAACAAAAATGCCCTCATTTGCTGTATGATTTGGAAATGTTGGAACTAGGGCATGTCCATTTCTAAAAGAAAGCGGAATAGCAAATTTGATTGCATTTTTGTAGCGGTGTGGGCAGAATGTTTTAATCTTTTGCAGAGACTTTCAAAATAAAAATGCATCCTGCCTATAGCGATTGTCAAACACTGGTCGCGCATTCTGCAAGATTGATTATCTATTGAACAATTTAAAAGTAAATGTTGCCTACAGCCGACATTGTTGTTCAATATTTTGTTTATCAATGCATGATTGTGTTTATCTCCTGCCTTGGTATAGGCTCTGAGATTAAATAGGCTATTATGTCGCGCTTCTATCACACAGCAATACTGTACCCTACCCATACTGTCATAGGCTACTGGTCTATTTACTTTTGAGCATGGTTGGCAATTGAATGAGCAATGAATAAATGGTAGGCTAAAATATGTTGTGGAGCGGGAATAATCCAGTCATGTCAGAAAAAGAGAGACACACCCTGCAATATGATTGTGATTTAGGCCTATATAATAAAAGTCAAATAAATATATTAGGCGACATGCTGCTATGCGATCTTCTTACCAACGGCGAATGCATCTGTTTTATCATTAGGCCTACGTTTTAATGTTTTTATTAGCCTACCATTATTATAATTCCTGTGCATCAAACACATCCATTTCCCCCAAAAGAACAATATTTGCTTGCAATACAGTTGATCAACCACTAGAAGTTGTGCGTACGCATGGTTTGAGATTTGCGTGGAGATGCGCACTTTCCCGTCAAGTTCAAAATTGATAAATACCAACCTTTGCGGGAAAACTGGCGCACGCAAGGTTTAGTCTTTTCTGTGTGCACACACCTTTGATAAATGAGGCCCCAGGTCAAAACCTACAAACACGGATCTGCATTATGTACATTTTCCCCCAACATATTGAAGAGGAAGGAACCATTTCAAAATCAAAGATAATGTTTGCATTTTATGTACTGGGCAAGTACTGAGTTTTGAAAGAACAACATATTGTAACATGTTTTAAAGGTAGACTCAGCAATATGACGGAGATGCAGAAAGTAAACCGCATAGTGGGTCAATTTCCGCAACAACTAAGAGCGTTGAAGCGTGAGGCTCAACTTCTCCACTGTTTTGGTCCCTCGGCTACCACGCTTTGAACAGCGTAAAGCGAACCCGTGCACATGCGCAGATACTGTATGACTGCATCTCGCTCATCTCAATATCTGCTGCTTGTGGCAACAAACCATACAGTGAATGTTGAAGAGAATCCTATTGTTTTGATAGTGGTCAGATAAATGGACCAGGAGTATTGTGATGCCTTCTATTAAAACACAACACGTATACATACTGTACATACTAGTTCCAGACCTGGGTCCAATACTTTCAAATACTTGAGCTGAGCTCGATTTAGATTACCTGGTACAATAGAACCTATGGAATAGTCCCATTAAATGCAAACACCAAGCTAAATCAAGCCCACCTTAATAACTAAAGTATTTGACCCAGGTTTGGCTAGTATACATGGTACTTTAGGGTTCATATTACGGTATTACTGAGCAGAATGTCTGGTAGTTATTATGGCAGAATAGTGAAACATCTTAAGATTTCTTTGTTTCATTTTTTTTATGTGTAAAAAAAAAAAAATCTGTGTGCCAACTCTGTTGATATTCTATTCTATGGTTCATGCATAAACTAATCTCTCCTATTGTAGACGTGAATCTAGATTAATTACCAGTAGCCATTTAAAGATATAAGTATCATTATTCAGATTCAACCTCATCACAGAACACAGGGAGCTGGCTCTCTTATGCACTCACTCAGGCTAATCAACAATGTTAATGAAATGAAGATGACAACTAACAATGCGGTCATGATATTGAGCACCATTCCTATATAGTTTTCTTCTCAAGACCTTAAATTCCATCCGGGACTTTCTATTCACATAAAAAGTCCATCACTTGCAGAAGTTGCAGCACCGCTCAACAAGATCTATTGAGTGATTGACTATTTTAATTCTGATGATCAACATCAAAATGTCAATCTGTTGCGGTGAACTGTCAAGTATTTTTTATAATGCTAATGGGATACTACTGCTTCCTTATTTTTTGGGGGTCGAAAGCCCATTTTTTCAGTTTCACTTGTCCATTAAAGGTTTTTAATGCTTTAAATGTATTTTTTACTGTAACATGCATTTGTTTTCTATAGTGCATAGTTCTAATTGATAAATGACAAAGCTGTGGTGTATGTATATTCAAGTTTAGAGTCTGGGTCTTAAGCACCCAGCTACTGGATCATGTGTTGAAGGACACATTTCTGTGACTATTTATATTTCCTACTGTCTGTGCATTCAAACCTGACGCATTTCAGGTGATGCAATTTTAGTATTGTTTGTACCTTTGCAAAAAAACAATAATAAAGAAAGTGATTGAAAAGCACAACTAGACAGATTTCTGGATAAGAGCGTCTGCTAAATGACTTACCGGGAAATGTTAAATGTAAATGGTGTGTGCCAGGTTGAGTTTGGCTTGTTGTGGTTTTATTGATCTCGGCAACCCAGAACCAAAATCTCCCAGCTATTTGTCTGTCCACGAGATTACGGTCTTATACAAAATGAACAGCAGTCAGAGACAGTTTTATCTTTATATCAATACAACTTTACAAAGAAAAGATGTTGAATCACCGTAAGCAAACACATACCTTAAATATGAACAATTGAAATTGCAGTTATACAAATCTTTAAATTATGTGCACTTTTTCACCATATTATCACATACAAAATCCCCATTTTCACATCATGAAAATATATTTATCAGGACAGGAAAAAAATGGAGACCCCATATTGTCCATTGACATTGAATTGTACAAATACCTACACATACAGTATATGACCTATTCAGATTGACCAGTGTCCTGGGTAGGAAGTCGTCAAGAAATGCAGCAAACACATTGCCATGTTCTTCCTGTGGCAGGGCAGGACATGGCCATTTTTGGCATCGTTTACACAGGCAGCTCAATTCTGATCTTTTGACATGAATTGTTCTTTTGACCAATCAGATTGAATCTTTTGCCAATAATTGGGCAAAATATCAGAATTGGGCTGCCTGTGTAAACGCAGACAATGTCTCTGAAGCGGAGGTCATCTGGCATACCAGTAGACCAATCGTTAGGCTTGAACAGGAGTCCCCAGTGAAACCTAAGCTGGACCTGAGAACCATATTACTGGAGCTATTTCCTTGTTCCTTCTAGTTGTCAATAGCCCAGAGGTGACTGACCGTTTCCCTTGGAAACAGCAGCAGTAAGAGTTCCATAGACTATTTAAGTCTCAATAGAATCACAACCTTCTCACATCTTGCTTGCCCAATCAACATTGCCATTGGCACATGATATTCCCAAGCATAAAGAGTCCTCCTTCTGTGTTTTGTGTAGATAGGACCTGGAGATGAGCACCGGGATTGTTGAACATCTTATCTCAGGGGTCCCTCTGTTGTTCCTCCTGACCTAGTCCAGAGGCTCCTGTTTGATGCGGATAGTGGTGGTGGTGCCGATGGACTGACCCCTGTGGAGCTCACGACACAGGACATACTCGCTGAACTGGGAGGAGTCAACTCCGCCGCCACACGACGCCGTCACGCTGAAGCCCTTCTGGAACAACCTCTCCAGAACCTGCAGAGAGCGAGCGAGCGACAGACAGACAGACAGACAGACAGACAGGGGCTTTAGACATTTGACATTAGTTAATCATAACTATTTGTATAGAGTTTTTCAATACAGGTAACAGAGGGGTTCACGTCATAAAATAATAAAATTAAAAGTACTAACAAAGAAACAAAGACAGGAGGAAGGAGAATTAAAATCATTGCAATCACACATTAAAAGTATCTTTATAAAAGTGTGTTTTCAGCAGGGATTTAAAAAGAGGCACTGAATCTGTAAGCCTGATCTCTCCTGGCAGACCATTCCAAATGCCTGGTCTCCTTTCATTTTCAACATAGACTTTGGAATGGTCGACAGTGCCCTGCCAAAGGATCTCAGGCTGCGTAGTTATAGTGCTGAGTAAGCAATTGTTATACCCTCTTCCTTATACGCATTACGGAGTTGAACGAGAACTACACTGCGCCTGAACTTAGTTACGCAGACAGCACTCGAAGATTAGCTTTGAGTTTAGAACTGGGTCTGCAAAGTGACTGGAGTGAGTCTGTCTGCCATGTTACTGAGATTAATTCGAGTCTCCAGCATTACTGGATGACCTGATCTGCTCTGCAGTGTAACATAACAGAGTTGACCTGGAAGGAACCACATCATAACAGCGTTGACCTGGAAGGAACCACATCATAACAGAGTTGACCTACAGAACTACATAACAGAGCTGACCTATAGAACTACATTAACGTCCATACCTGAACTGAGTTGAGCCTGCAGTAGCCGTTGAGCGGAAACCGGATAACATGTGTGGGGTCCTGGTTCCAACCGGCGTTCACCGAGTTACACATGACGTCTCCAGTCTCGGGGAAGATCTCCTCAATGAGCACCTTCTCCCCGCTGAGGGCAATTCTCTCACCCAGGTCAGGGGTCACTCGGACCACCAGGCACTCGCAGGGCCGGCTCTTCTGGCCCTCCCGCTCTGTCAGCCAGCGCTCCAGCTCGCGGACCATGGGGGTCAGCTGGTAGTAGCGAGCCTCCTCGTATAGCTGGGGGAAGTCCTGCCATAGTAGAAACAAACACATACTGTATAAGGAAGGATACATACTGTACACACAACACACTCAAGAAAGCATAAACAAACACGCACCGACAAACACACATACTGACGTTCATAAACAAACACGCACTGACAAACACACATACTGACATTCATAAACAAACTGACATGAGTATAGTCTGGATGGCTGCCAGATGTGGTTATTTGTCAGCCAACTGCTTTGTCGTTGTCTGGATAGATAAACGTGTTTAACTTGATAACGACAAAGGATTTAACTAATACACTGCCTGGAACCAAAGCTAATTTAACTATAATACACACACAGGGTTTGAATTTCAGGATGCCCAGAGGTGTTGGGCACTATTGTAATATATTAGGGCATTCAAAGTATTAAACGTATCAGTAACACTTTATTGAAGGGAACCTAAGGACGTCATAACACAATTACAACTCATACATACTACATTCAGATAAAGTACATAACTAGTTCCTTCTGTTGAATGTATGTGATGGATTCATTTATACCAAATGTTTATCTCCACACACAAGACATATCTGTACATCTCACTGTCCCCTGTCTCTTCCCCTTGCATGCCCAATATTATGATACTACTGCAGCACATACAAACACACACATACACAGCAAGCGGTACCGATGCACCAAGTCTGGAACCAACAGGATCCTGAACAGCTTCTACCCCCAAGCCAGAAGACTGCTAAATAGTTAGTTAAATAGTTAACCAATAGCTACCCGGACTATCTGCATTGACCCTTTTTGCACTAACTCTTTTGACTCAACACATTTGATTTGATTTGACACACAGCAGACACTTCTGTTCATAATTACTGCGTGAGAGATAAAGAGAGAGCTGCTTATTTTTCTCTGCTTTTCTCCATACTGCTTCTGACATCAGGCAGACACAGAGCTGCTACCCCCTCAGGCTCCTCTCTGTATCAAAGCCTGCCTCCTTAGCTCCCCTCCCTTCATAGGCTTGAAGCGAGGGATAGATGTGTTTTATAAAATAGGGCTCTATCTGCAGGGTACTTTAGTCATCCTGGGCAAAGCACAGAATAACACAGCTACACTAACTACAGAGAGAGAGATGCCAGATACACATACACACACACACACACATACATATGTAAGCACTTTCGCATACACACACACACACACACAGTCTCTACACACATGCACACACATGCCCTCCTCACACATCAATTTAGCAAAACACACAGTGCCCCTGCTTCCAGCTATGCAGAATCGACCCCTGTAGGAGCCCAGGGCGAAATGGAGACCTGATTAAAGTGTCAGAAAGCTACAGAGTTTCCACACACTGAGCGCTTATAGTGGTACACAGTGATAGAATGAAGATAAATATGTGTTTCTGGGCACAGCAGGATAATTGTATGACTTTACGGTCATGTTTTCATTTGCATAACCATCCTGAAAACTGTGAGAGATACTAGGTTTGTAATTGTTTGTATGTGTAAAAACGGATTTGGAAATGAGGTGGTTCAGAGACTGTGTTAGCCCGTTGAGCAAAAGCCTAGGCATTAGCTCAAAGAAATAACATGTCTTCATGGCTCGGGCAAGTTACCTTATCACGTGAGCATAGTTCAACCAAACCACCTTTGTTAGACATACAGTACATAATGTAATGTATTATGTTACTCTTTGAGATATGAGCTGTAAGAGAGCTGTCCTGTAGTGTGTACTGTACCTTGAAGTCCTCTGGGAGTAGTAGTTTGCAGGTCCTGAGGAAGCTGAGGATGTATCTGAATATGTCTCCATCCCTGTCGATGAAGTAGTGCTGCTTCAAGCTGTCCAATACGATGGGCTCTGTTCCATTAAACAGACGACTGATTCTGGAGAACAGAAAAAGACAATGGTTGGGAGCTCTAAATTCATACTTTGAATCAAGTAGTACTTGAAGTATACTTAGTCAATCGTAAAACTTGTTTCTAGTGTTTGATCATTACTTACATTTTAGGCCGGAATTGGGCTACATCTGCATATTGTTTATTTTAGTATAGAAAATACTATGGGTTTACTACGACTTCTGAATCACATACTCATACTGGGTTAATTACAACATGTATCCTCTCTCTCTCTCTCTGCTCTCTCTGCTAGATAGGAGGCGCGAGATGTAGAGGAGCAGGGAGAGAGCGAGAGAGTGGAGATAGATGATCGCGAGAGCTTCTATAGATCTCCTGCTCTGTTCTCTCTATCTCGATCTATCTCTCGTCTATCGTCTCTCTCTCTCTCTCTCTCTCTCTCTCTCTCTCTCTCTCTCTCTCTCTCTCTCTCTCTCTCTCTCTCTCTCTCTCTCTCTCTCTCTCTCTCCCTCCCTCCCTCTCTCTGGAAATCGATGCCAACTGCTTTCTATAAGCCCAGTTACACATCTTTCTTATTCTCTCCTCTCTGCCTGAGGTGGTCCTCTACTCTTCCAGCAGGAGTGTCACCTCACAGCTCCAGGCAGCTCAGCCTTCTCTTTCTCTGCCTTCTCCACTCTCTCTTTGTCCTACAAAAAGCAATTAAAATATTCACTTTCTTTTCTCTCTAGCCCTTTCTCTCTCCTTTTGCTAGATCTCTCAACAATTATCATGGTTACCAAAGTTCTTGTTTCAACATGACGTTGTGTGGATTTCTATAAGTATTTTAGTAATGTATCAGTCATAACGCACTGTCGGTATGAAGCTGTCCATGAACTTGTTGTATCATTCAATAATAAGTTATTTATCATGAAAAAATATGGTGCCATATGCCACGGTGCCAGATGCATCCTGTAATGGCCTTACCTAGACTCTGGGTATTTAGTGAGAGTCCCCAGGCTGCTGGTGTACATGTGTCCTCCCACATCAATGTGGACCGGGGCATTGGCTTTAGTCAGCTGGGCCGGTGATGGGATGCCCTGGGCATTCATTGGAGAAACTGGAGAACGACTCATAGACATCCTGGACATGCTCCTTCCCTCCTACAGAAACACATGGAAACAGATAGTCTTTGTATTCGAAGTGTGTACTGTATCTGCCCTGAGAGTAGTAAAGTGAAAAGTAGTGAGATGTCTACTTTTCATTAAAGGCCCAGTGCAGTCAAAAACGTGATTGTCCTGTGTTTTATATATATTTCCACACTATGAGGTTGGAATAATACTGTGAAATTGTGAAATTGATGCTAATGCCCTTTTAGTGTAAGAGCTGTTTGAAAAGACCGCCTAAAATTCCAGCCTGTTTTGGTGGGATGGAGTTTTGGCCTGCTTGGTGACATCACCAGGTGGTAAATTAGTTAATAGACCAACAAGAAAGAGCGTTCCAAACCTCTCTGCCAATAACAGCTAGTTTTCAGTTTTCCCCTCCCCACTCAGACGTCTCCCAGACAGTCCTAGTAAAATTCTTGCTTGAGAAATGACTCTTTGCTAAGAAGCTATTTTTGTTTATTTGTACCATTTTAATTGAAAACAATCACAGTAAGGTACTTAACTGTTACCAGGAAATGATTTGATATTGAGATAAAAACGGCTGCATTGGACCTTCAAAGTTACTGATGATGTAATGACAGGAAGCAGTAGCAAATGAGGTGCAAGACTGTACAGTAGTTTAGACTCTAGTAAGGCTAGCAGCCAATCAAACTGTTTCAGAGATACAATAAGCCTGAACGTTCCCCAATTAACATGAATACACTATTCAGGACTACAGACAGTAGTTGAAGTTTCCCATATTGAGGGAACAGAGGGCAGTCATGACCCCAGGGCACTAGGCAAATTGCAGCTTCTTATTATATTATATTATTATATTATATTTTTATATTATATTATATTATATTATATTATTATTATATTATTTCTGGACTAATTGAACCAACCATCCCCCCACCAAGTCTCTCCATTGTAAAGAGGTTCTTTGAACCATAAAGGTGAACAGGAGGTGAACTTCCTTCAGTGTTTTGCCAGGGGCAAGATGCCTGAGGCTGCTGAGCAGAACACACAGAGTCCTCATTTCCAGGGTGTTGTCTCCTCTGCTTAGCCAGAAACCAGTATTTTAAGAAATCGATTTCAAAAGAAAAACATTTCATGTTATAAAACCAAGAGGAAACTACATACATTTCACCCATATTTTTAGATGTAATATTCCTTACCATATCCATATTACTTCACACATGAATTCATTCAAGAACACATGATAATAATAGAATAGTATCGAATAGAAAGATAAACTAATAGCCTATAATAAGGTTCTAAAGGCAAGCTTGGGGTTGTTGTACTGTAGCCTATTCCCCCAAACTCTCTCAATTCTAATAGCACTGCAATGAACTGGGAATAAAAAATGTTGGATGTAAATGAGGATTCTATCAGTCACTGAAGTTTGCGTTCTCCTGCGTTTCAGTAAAATATAACAAATATGTCACAATCCACTGGTATCCAAATAGCCCTACCGCCGGCTCGCTTTTCTTGGTGTGTGGAGTCCAAATGTTTGAAAACTTTGTGGTTTAATCACGGGAAATCTACACCAACGCAAGGATTTTATAGAGTCACTGTGTCTTTAAGATTTTACTGTAGTGTCAGACAGACTACATGTTCTCCACCAAATAAAACTACAAATGAAACAAATTGCGTCCTTACCTGGGAGGACACGGATACAGAAGACATAGGAATCTCTTCTCCCTTCCGATTTTATCTCTGTTAATGTCAGTTGGGTCGTCGTTTGCTTTATATCCGTCTTTGTCTGGTCTTGCTTTTTCTGATATGATGAATCCGTCGAGTTTTATGAGAAGAAAGCCAGTCCGTCTCTAAATAAGAGGAGGGCTAGAAGAATTCTTGCTTTGGGCTATTCAAACGCCCGAAGGGCAAGGATTAGGTTACAACAGAGCAGCTTTTTATCTCTCGTCTCAACTCGTTTCAAGATGAAAATGAGATCCACCGTTTCTTATTTCACAAGACAATTTGATTTTTACCAAAAATATCGCGGTTTATTTCCAACGGAGAGGGGTCTGGTCTGCTGCATGGGTAACGGTGTTCGGTTCAATCTTGCTCCGTATCAGATTAGTGTCATAATTCACTCACCGGATTTACCAGTGTTAATAACTGGCAGTGTGAATAAAAAACATACATTTAACTTGTTGATACAATGTCTACTAAAGTAGGCTACGGTCAATATCCATTAAACTATAAAATGATAGGCTCCGCTCAGAACTGTCGCACAGGGCGCGCGCAGATCTTCTCTGTCCTGTAGGATCCTCTTCTCGCCCCAGTCAGAGGCGTCATGCCCATAGGGGGCACAGGGGCACGTGCCCCCTCAGATTTGGCCTGTTTAAAAATAATAATAATAATAATAATAATAATAATAATAATAATAATAATAATAAATACAATATATATAAACATGTGTTTGTTTCTCTGTAATACTACTAGTCACCTATCAATTTTATGAAGTTGGCTTTAGCCCAGATAGGTTCCCAATCTCCCAACTTCATTACTATTTACCAAGAAGCCATTTCAGGCTCTCAATCAAATTAAAGTAGCTAGCTTGTCTAAATATCTTAGCTGGCATGCCTGCTGGCATGGTAGACTTTAGAAAAGCAAGCAATAACTAAATGTACTGAATAAGACTCAGATTTATTTCAATCTTTTACCCAGATTTTAGCAGGGATACAGAGAAGCATATTTATTTTCTTTTAAAAAAGAACCACCAGTGAGGAGGATACAGACAGTTCAAGAGGTATGCTTAGATATGCAGAAAAATGGACATATTCTTTTTACATAGAATTAACCACAATGCTTATGGCTCTAGATTGCAGGAAAAAGCTGTTTCAGGTGTTTGAAAAATGAACAATTGTCCAACTTCTGGACGGGACCACCACCCCATCCTCACGTACTTTGTGCCCCCTTAGATTTTATGGGTGCATGACGCCCCTGTCACCAATAGCTAATATTCTAACATCAAACATCCCCCTGGCATTGAAGCCAAATGAAGTCTATCGTCATGCATTATGCCATTGCAAAAGGCCCCCTTTCAGGTGCCTCCGGTCAAATGCGCCATTTCAATTATTGTGCGCTGTTCGATGGAGATGTTTGCCCCCAGCGCTTGCAGGCAGATTCGTTTTACTCCTCAAACACAAGCTCAGTTTGGTACGCTATTTGTAACAAAATATAGGCCTATTCTAAATCTGTTGCAATCCATCAAAATTGGTCACTGCATGATCTATTCATATGGTCACCACTTTGTGTTCCATTGCGCACAGCATTGCGCAGAGAAATTCCAAATGTTTGATTATTTGTGTACTTGTTTGACATTTTACTGCATTGCTATGAGCTAGTAACATAAGCATTTCGCTGCACCCACTATAACATCTGCTAAACTGTGTATGTGACCAATAAACTTTGATTTGATTTTGATTTGAAAAGCTGTGATGTCTCTTTGCATCCTTAGAATATTAATACAATTGAAAAAGACTAGCTGACAATAAATCTGAACATATAGCCAATGGATATATATAGCACAGATAAATTGCCCATATGTTTAGATTTATTGTCAGCTAGTCTTTCTCAATTGTATTAATATTCTAAGGATGCCTGACAAAACATTTTGAGAGCACACAAAATACTGTCTGGCACAAAAAGGAACCTGAAAAATATACGTAGGCTAGCCTAACTGTGATCCATTTCAAGCATTGCCCAATGCATTTCCTCTCATGAAGCTATGGTTAAGGAGGATGGGATGGACATAAAACACATTGCTTTAATAATTTCCTCATTCATTTTTACATGAAAGTCATGCGTTCTCTTCATCGGTTTAATCAAACTAGGAAATAGAGCGATACATATGCACAACGTCTGTTCGACACCAAGACTCCAGTGTTAAATCCTGCTCTTCCATTTGTTTTTGCCCCAGGGTGATGCTGTGCATGTGTCTTACTCTGCATTAGTACAAACCAACAGAAGGACATGATTCTGTCTCTGTCCCAAATGTCACCCTATTCCTATAGTGCACTACTTTTGACCAGAACCCATAGCTCTGATCAAATGTAGTGCACTATATAGGGAATAGGGTGTTATTTGGGACAGACAATTCTCCTTTTTTCTGCTTAAAGAAACCCTGCAGTTAGTTCAATTAGATGATGTATGGGAAAGATGTTGTAAATTTACAGATTTAAATAGCTGGCAAAGTCACCCCAGGCACTGGCAGTTAATTTTCTTAATTTACTAATTTTGTGTCTGATGTGAGAAGGATGTGGAAAGAGAAGAAACAGCTCAGTTGTCTTTATGTCGTAAGAGCTGATGGCTCAAATGAAATATATCTCATCTAATTTCCTATGCTCCCATATAAGGCAGCAGAGTGCCCCCCTCCAGACACAACACTATTGTACACTGAGAAGGTGACAGACAGTGACTGTACCACTGTGTGTAGACTAGAAGACAGACATTCTATAGACTAATGATGGACATTTTGAAGTGATTGAAATTTTAATTGTCACATTTCTGTCACTTCCTTAAACCAGTTGTGGAAAAACAACAGAGAAATGTTTTGTTAAAATGGCTTGTTAAACATCTATTCATGGTAAAGGTGCTTGACAACCCAGACAAAAATTAGCATGTACAGTGCACTCAGAAAGTATTCAGACCCCTTCACTTTTTCCACATTTTGTTAGGTTACAGCCTTATTCTAAAATTGATTAAATCTTTTTTTTCTCAGCAATCTACACACAATACCCCTTAATGACAAAGCGAAAACTGGTTTTTAGACATTTTTGCAAATGTATTAAAAATAGAAAACAGAAATACCTTATTTACAAAAGTACTCAGACCATTTGCTATGAGACTCGAAATTGAGCTCAGGTGCATCCTGTTTCCATTGATGATCCTTGAGATGTTTCTACAACTTGATTGGAGTCCACCTGTGGTAAATTCAATTGATTGGACATGATTTGGAAAGGCACACACCTGTCTATATAAGGTCCCACAGTTGACAGTGCATGTCAGAGCAAAGACAGGATTGTGTCGAGGCACAGATCTGGGGAAGGGTACCAAAAAATGGCTGCAGCATTGAAGGTCCCCAAGAACACAGTGGCCTCCATCATTCTTAAATGGAAGAAGTTTGGAACCACCAAGACTCTTCCTAGAGCTGGCCTCCCGGCCAAACTGAGCAATCAGGGGAGAAGGGCCTTGGTCAGGGAGGTGACCAAGAACCCGATGGTCACTCTGACAGAGCTTCAGAGTTCCTCTGTGGAGATGGGAGAACCTTCCAGAAGAACAACCATCTCTGCAGCACTCCACCAATCAGGCCTTTATGGTAGAGTGGCCAGACAGAACCCACTCATCAGTAAATGACAGCCCGCTTGGAGTTTGCCAAAAGGCACCCTAAAGGACTCTCAGACAATGAGAAACAAGATTCTCTGGTCTGATGAAACCAAGATTGAACTCTTTGGCCTGAATGCCAAGCGTCACGTCTGGAGGAAACCAGGCACCTGCTCATCACCTGGTCAATACCATCACTACGGTGAAGCATGGTGGTGGCAGCATCATGCTGTGGTGATGTTTTTCAGCGGGAGACTAGTCAGGATCGAGGGAAAGATGAACGGAGCAAAGTACAGAGACATCCTAGATGAAAAGGTTCACCTTCCAACAGGACAATGACCCTAAGCACACAGCCAAGACAACGCAGGAGTGGCTTCAGGACAAGTCTCTGAATGTGAGTGGCCTCTGAGTGGCCTAGCTAGAGCACGGACTTGAACCCGATCAAACTTCTATGGAGAGACCTGAAAATAGCTGTGCAGCGACGCTCCCCATCCAACCTGACAGAGCTTGAGAGGATCTGCAGAGAAGAATGGGAGAAACTCCCCAAATACAGGTGTGCCAAGCTTGTAGCATCATACCCAAGAAGACTTGAGTCTGTAATCACTGCCAAAGGTGCTTCAACAAAGTACTAGTAAAGGGTCTGAATACTTATGTAAATGTGATATTTAAGTTGTTTATTTTCAATACATTTTTCAAAAATTTCTAAAAACCTGTTTTTGCTTTGTCATTATGGGGTATTGTTTGTACATTGATGAGAAAAAAACAACAATTTAATCATTTTAGAATAAGGCTGTAACGTAACAAAATGTGGAAAAAGTGAAAGGGTCTGAAGACTTTCCGAATGCACTCTAAATTGGCAGTGTTAAGGCTAGGGGATTGAAATCATTTGTAGTACAACACTTCTGCACAGACACGTAGAACAATTGTACATTAACACTTTACACTTAGTGTGATCATCTGTATTGTAATGAGGCCCATACAATTACCCAGAAAACCTCAAACTTATATGTTTCAATGTACATTACCAACATTCAAAGATCATGAACCTTCAGATACATCTGGAAGGCCATATGTGATGAACCGACATATTACACAGTAATGCCACTATTTACTCTGTTTGATTGATATATTGTTCCTGTCCCTTATTTCCTGTGATTCTGTATTTTAGAAATATACTGTAACAAGTGTATTGCATGTAAAATAGAAAAGTAGAGAGAGATATCTCGTTGATTGTTGAGAGGATGTTGTATGTAGGCTATGTCTGCCAATCAATAAAAGTGCATTTGACAAAGAAAGTACATCAGTTTGCACATTATACAAAGCGTTACGACAAAAAGCTGTATAACCTATGCTCAAAGTAATCACATCAAATCATATGTTGTGACATGACTTTCATTAATTTGATGACTATTATTTATCGAATCAACTAACTATGTTTAATTGTTACTCGATTAAATTAATAATGTAACAATTAACTCATTAGGATTTGGAGCACCACGGAATAAGTTGTTAATAGAGTTACCATCTCCCGAATTAAACTCTAAAAGGTCTTTACCTACAGTTGAAGTGGGAAGTTTACATACACTTAGGTTGGAGTCATTAAAAGTCATTTTTCTACCACTCCACAAATTTCTTGTTAACAAACTATAGTTTTGGCAAGTCGGTTAGGACATCTACTTTGTGCATGACACAAGTAATTTTTCCAACAATTGTTTACAGACAGATTATTTCACTTATAATTCACTGTATCACAATTCCAGTGGGTCAGAAGTTTACATACACTAAGTTGACTGTGCCTTTAAACAGCTTGGAAAATTCCAGAAAATGATGTCATGGCTTTAGAAACTTCTGATAGGCTAATTGACATAATTTGAGTCAATTGGAGGTGTACCTGTGGATGTATTTCAAGGCCTACCTTCAAACGCAGTGCCTCTTTGCTTGACATCATGGGAAAATCAAAAGAAATCAGCCAAGACCTCAGAAAAAAAATTGTAGACCTCCACAAGTCTGGTTCATCCTTGGAAGCAATTTCCAAACGCCTGAAAGTACCACGTTCATCTGTACAAACAATAGTACGAAAGTATAAACACCATGGGACCACGCAGCCATCATACCGCTCAGGAAGGAGACGCGTTCTGTCTCCTAGAGATTAACATACTTTGTTGCGAAAAGTGCAAATAAATCCCAGAACAACGGCAAAGGACCTTGTGAAGATGCTGGAGGAAACGGGTACAAAAGTATCTATATCCACAGTAAAACGAGTCCTATATTGACATAACCTGAAAGGCCGCTCAGCAAGGAAGAAGCCACTGCTCCAAAACCGCCATAAAAAAGCCAGACTACGGTTTGCAACTGCACATGGGGACAAAGATCGTACTTTTTGGAGAAATGTCCTCTGGTCTGATGAAACAAAATAGAACTGTTTGGCCATAATGACCATCATTATATTTGGAGGAAAAAGGGGAAGGCTTGCAAGCCGAAGAACACCATCCCAACCGTGAAGCACGGGGGTGGCAGCATCATGCTGTGGGGGTGCTTTGCTGCAGGACGGACTGGTGCACTTCACAAAATAGATGGCATCATGAGGAAGGAAAATTATGTGGATATATTGAAGCAACATCTCAAGACATCAGTCAGGAAGTTAAAGCTTGGTCGCAAATGGGTCTTCCAAATGGACAATGACCCCAAGCATACTTCCAAAGTTGTGGCAAAATGGCTTAAGGATAACAAAGTCAAGGTATTGGAGTGGCCATCACAAAGCCCTGACCTCAATCCTATAGAACATTTGTGGGCAGAACTGAAAAAGCGTGTGCGAGCAAGGAGGCCTACAAACCTGACTCAGTTACACCAGCTCTGTCAGGAGGAATGGGTCACAATTCACCCAACTTATTGTGGGAAGCTTGTGGAAGGCTACCCGAAACGTTTGACCCAAGTTAAACAATTTAAAGGCAATGCTACCAAATACTAATTGAGTGTATGTAAACATCTGACCCACTGGGGATGTAAATAAAAAATAAAAAATACAGAGAATTACTTAAATGTAAACACCTCTCCCACTCAATGATGAGCTCTGTACACCGTCAGTCATACATTCACAACAAAAATCTTGATGAGATGAAATATAATAATAAATAATCATAAATAGTGTAAGTAACACTGCCTGTAATGAAGGGGTAGTTCTAGTGGGGACTGGGACAGGTGGCAAAACTGGTGCAGCTATGGTCAGTCAATACTCAATTAATTTAAAAGCAAAGTAAAGAGAGCAATCAGACACATAAAATACATACATTAAGACTTACACATTGAATAAAACACATGCAATTACATACATGCGAGACAAGAAACAACATAACGTAATTGTTCAAAAGCGCTTCAAAACCACTCCATCATAATGATTCACTTAAAAAAGTGCAGGATGGCAAAGAAAGAAATACAGAAATACAGTCTTTCAGTCTTTGGAGACTCTGAACAATAGTGTATGATCACAGGGAAATAATATGCTTAAAATGCTCCATAATTCTTGCCAATGCAGGTTAGCCAAACAAGTCCAAGTTTCTAGTGTGGTAGTACTGTAGCTACTATTTGACAGGAGGTTGTACGAATGGGGCTTGAGAGGAGGAGAGACAGGGTAAGGAGATGTGAACCCCCCGGCTGACCAGGACCTCTCAGCCCTCCTGTCCAAAGTATTCTGTGAACTTCCTGACCTTGAACAAGTCCTCAGTGTTGACTGTGGGCCGTGTGGTGGATAGTGAGCACAGTATGTCAGACTGGCGGGCAGAGGGACACAGAGAAGACAAACAAAAGCATGAGCATGGTTCAGCAATTACACAAAATGTGAGAGTCAGTGTGCAACGCCAGGATGTGTATGTTGAAACATCATATGCTCCAGCATGTTTGTGAGCAGTGAATGTGAATGTCAATGAACACAGTGAGTATGTCTGTGCTGTGAGTGTGTGTTTCTTACCATGCAGACGATGGGCTCCAGCAGCATGTCGCTAGGCACATCCATCCAGGTCAATTCTATGGCACCCGGGTCCCCAGGTGAGCACGGGGTCAAAAGGTCATCCAACATCAATTGACTGTTGACACGGGATGGCCCTTGCACCTAGAGTACCATAACAAACAACACACTATCTTAAATCTCCTTAAAAGTTGAGGAAGAGATGTGCCTTTAGTGTGGTATGCAAGAGTCATCTGCAATACAGTTACTATATCATGTGTATAAGTTACCATTTTGAAGTGTGTGGGTGACTGCAGTTTCCTGACAGGCTGCATGAGGGCATCTCATACGATGACGCTGATCTCGGCCCCAGAGTATCTTTCTTACACAGGTCTGCGTTACTCACTGTGGGGCATGTTGCCCAGGTGCACCCGGAACATCTGGGACCTAGCAGGCTCTTCTTGGAGAGGGATGTAGATACGCTTCTCAAACCTGACGGTTACATAATGCACTGATGAGAATGCTTGATAATGACTTTATTGTATCTGTTAGGAAATTATTTTACAAAACATTTCCCATTTAACATCTATTGTTCTACACTCTTAGAAGAAAGGGTTCCAAAAGGGTTCTTTGTGGATGTCACGGATTCTCCCGAGGCTGCTCCTCCTCCTTGCTCGGGCAGGCTTCGGCGTTCGTCATCCCCGGAGTACTAGCTGCCACCGCTGGATGTTTCGATAGTTGTTTGGTCTAGTCTTGTGTGTGCACCTGTTTCATATTGAGTTTTGATTATGTCACCTATAAGTTTCCCTTTTGGTTTGTTTGCAGTTGTGTGTAATTGTCCGCTTGTCTGTTCCGTGTTGGTTTGTGTATGTACCCAAGGACTTCACGTATCGTTTTGTTGTTTTTGTTCGTGTGGTGAAATATAAATAAAAGATGTTCGCATTCCACGCTGCGCATTGGCCCGTTTCTTAAAATGACGATCGTGACAGTGGATTTAAATGGTTATACCAATAACCGTTTTCATATGAATAACCCTTTTTGGAAGACAAGGGTTCTTTGCAACACATTTGTGTCACTTTTCCTAAAACCAGACGTGGAAAAACAACAGAGAAATGTTTTTGTTTAGTTAGTAAAGGCTTGATAAAACATGTATTAATGGTAATAGCTCTTGAAAACCCAAACAAACAAAAATTGCAAAATTGGCAGTGTTAAGGCTGGGGATTGAAATCATGTTTGTAGATTGAACACTTCTGCACAGACATGTAAAAAAACTCTTTACAGTGTAATCATTATTATTGTAACATGAGGCCCATACAATTACCCAGAAAATCAATTGTACATTACAGATTCAAAGATCATGAACCTTCAGATACATCTGGAAGGCCATATGTGATCAACCGACATATTACACAGTAATGCCACTATTTACTCTGTTTGATTGATATATTTTTCCTGTCCCTTATTTCCTGTGTTTTCCTGTCCTTTATTTTTTTCATTTAGCAGACGCTCTTATCCAGAGTGACTTACAGGAGCGATTAGGGTTAAGTGCCTTGCTCAAGGCCACATCCACAGATTTTTCACCTAATCGGCTCTGGGATTCGCACCAGCGACCTTTCAGTTACTGGCCCAACACTCTTAACCGCTAGGCTACCTGCCGCCTTGAGTTAGATACTGTAACAAGTTTATTGCATGTTCTGTATGTAAAATACAAAACAAATACCCCAAGAGCAAGTGTGGTTTTGAAATCAAATTAAATTATATTAAAATGGTCTAAGACACGTGGTATTTCTCATCAGTAGGCAATGTAGGATTGCAGTAACTGTGAAATCTGCTGCAGTATCTGCAAACACTAGTCTTTGCTTTGGGAGAGCGTAGCTAGCCTCTCTTTTCCTTATTTTTATAACAGTCTGCAGAATAACAAGACACGTGTTCCCTTTTCATAGTCACATGACCCAAAATGACAAGTATATGTTCATATAACAAGGCTGAAAAAAATTAGAACATTAACAGATTATAATTCATTCTTCACCCAAAGTATAGGTCACTTCATAGAAGTCATTGGGCTGTTGATCGAGAGCAATATCTCGTTGATTGTTGAGAGGATGTTGTATGTAGGCTATGTCTGCCAATCAATAAAAGTGCATTTGACAAAAAAGTACATCAGATTGCACGCTATACAAAGTGTTATGACAAAAAGCTGTACAACCTATGCTCAAAGTAATCACATCAAATCATAACTGTAACCAGATGTAAATAAGACACGTAGAATACTTTACATCAATGTGTCTGTAGTGCTTATTCAAGTCCCACAAGATAATAATCTCTTCTGTAGTGTTCATATTTATAATCTCAAATGAATAATCTAAATTTGGCAATCCAGCCAGTACCTCAGTACAGGTCTTTATAGGGCTTGGGGTATTTAAACATCAGATAATCCATGTAATAAAAGTCATAGGCCCTCTGTCTCTCCGTGGCATTCAACTGTTCAAAGTATCTCTGGGTAATGGTGGAGGAAGTCCTTTCTGCTCTGGGGTTCCTGTCTTTAAAGTCAGGGAAAGTGAGGTTACTAGGCGCCCCGATGCTCCGTAGCAGGAAGTTGGCCTCCTCCTTCAGGCTCTCGAATTTCCCAATGAAGTCGTAATGCAGCAGGCAGGGGCTGCAGAGTTGGCTGACCGGCGTCCAGTGGATGTCCATGCCCACGGGCCGCCTCACGTCCAACAGGTACTGGACAAACTCCCTGAAGGTGACCCCGGCGCCGGTCCTTAGGGCAGAGAGCGAGGCGTTGGCCCGGTACCGGGAGATGATGGGCCGGCCAAATACCGGGTGGTAGTACGAGTTGGGGCTCTCGAACTTGTCGCGGAAGGCCGACACCAGCCTCTCGAAAGGCTCCCGTACGAAGAGGACCTTGGTGTAGGAGCGGAGGCGCTCGGCCACGCCCGCCTGGCTGTAGGCGTCCAGTCGACGGAGTTGGTTGGCATAGTGGGCGTCGTCGTGGGCGATGCCGTGCGTGGAGGTGGCACTGCCTCCCAGGACCATCAGCACCCGCTTCCAGTTGGAGCAGCCGGCTTTGGGCACCTCACAGTACAGCAGGCCTGTCCTATTATTAATTAACCAATACAACAGAAAGATATGAATAGTTATCTGGGGCTGTATGTATCTAGCATCTCAGAGTATGAGTCCTGATTTAGGATCAGTTCTGCCTTTTAGATCACAATGAATAAAATTAGATGGACAGGGGGACCTCTAGATCAGCCCTGAACATGAATTGTTCTGAAATACAATTATGCATGTAAATCATGTAATGTATTTAGATGTACTGTAAATAATATCTGTAGATAATGCTCAATGAAATTAACCCCTAAAGTTACAACACCTGTCCTCCACGTAGACGCGGGACACCTGCTGGCGGGAGACAGGGCGCTCGGTGACGCCCGGCTGGTATTTGGTACAGACCTCCCTCAGCAGGTGGTGACGGGAAACCTGGGTATGGGCCATGCCCTGTAACTGACGGTCCTCTTCACCAGAGGGGGCACCACTAGGAATTACCGAACCGCTCTTTAACAGCAGCTTCCTGTGGCGTTTGCTGACCGGTGGCCTGGGGCTCTCGACCTGTTGGTCTCCGGAGGTTGGGGTGGATGGGTGGGGCAGCCACTGTAAGGACGGGGGCTGCCTGGGGCTAGGACTAGGGAGGCTGGGGTTATAGGATATCTCTTCCCCTGGAGCTCCATGGAAACCTCCACCTAGGTTGATGCCCACAACGACTGCACTGTCTGAAGGCTGCTCCTGTGTCACATGGAACAATCGTTAACAGAAGCTCAACTTTACCCAAGATGGAGATAGTGCATGTTCCTCAAGAATCCACACGATGGCGCAATTACATTATTTTGAGTGAGCTCAGCAGCTCAGTGAGCTGAATATAACCAGGCATCTGATCTGATCAAGTTATCTTACCTTTTGAATTGGCCATCTTGGAGCAACCATGAACTTCGCACCTGGAGAGAGAGAGAGAGAAAGAGAGAGAGAGAGAGAGAGAGAGAGAGAGAGAGGAGAGAGAGAGAGAGAGGAGAGAGAGAGAGAGAGAGAGAGAGAGAGAGAGAGAGAGAGAGATAGAGAGAGAGAGAGAGAGAGATTGATAGAATCCTACATTACGTATTACAAAAGGTCCTTTGCTTGTAACAAGTTTCTCCAGCCGAGCTGAAATAGCTATCAAGAGAGAGCCTGGAGGAGAGATGGTGTCTGTTACAGCAGGGGCTATAGGACAAGACTCCATTTTATCACAAGATTAGGTTTTTGATAGAGAGGCCAGGTGTGTGGTTGTGTGATTGTGTGTGTGTGTGTGTGTGTGTGATAGAAAGAGAGAGAGATAAAGAGTGATGCTCATGTTACCTTGGCGACGCTTAGATTACCGGCCACCTATCACGTTTTATCAACACTTTCACCTATTGTATTATTGTTGAGTTACTGAGAACAAATTCTCTTTCCAATGCAGCCTTGCCAAATGATATTAATCCGACTGGGAAACGTGACAATGCATAATAGGACAGAAATCGTTACAGGAGTGGGGAGCGGGGATGTCAAAAACTGCTTTGTCATCACTAAACAGATTTGTTTGAGCAGAACAGAAAATCAGCCTCAAACAAAACAGTCAAGGGATGCACAGAACAATTATAAATGTCTTTCACATTGTGATTATAAATCCGTCATAGAATAATACATATTTTTGGGGGAGGGAAGTAGATGGAGGAAAACATCAGAAAACATACCAGATGTTCAAGACATCACATGGTCATTAGAGATGTTGCTTGTGAGAACTACTGTAGTCCCCTGTAGCTCAGTTGGTAGAGCATGGTGCTTGCAACGCCAGGGTTGTGGGTTCGTTTCCCACAGGGGGCCAGTATGAAAATGTATGCACTCACTAACTGTAAGTCGCTCTGGATAAGAGCGTCTGCTAAATGACAATTTAAAAAAATACAGTAACTACAACGCTATCTTTTACATACATTCATGTAATGTTGCATCTAGAATTGCCAGTACTCAATATCTTATGTGTTATCGCTCGATAGTACTAGACGGCTACAAGAAAACAAAACTGAGTACATGCAGGGCTGTTGGGCTGCTCCATGGGGGGTGACTGATCCTCTACATAACAATGACAACCTTGCCTACTCCTTACTACAACACACACACGACACATGACACACACACACACACGCACACACACAAACAGGGTGCCTGCTAATGTGTATGTGCCAGGGGTAATGAGGGATCCAGATGGCTTCACAGCAGCAGCCCTGGGATCATCTTGACACTGAAGGTTACTGCTTTCCGACTGCTGCCGTGTCAAAAGAGCCATCAAGAACATCTCCTCCTCTCAAGAGGTCACCCACTTTTTACACACTTGCAAGGAACAATATATCTGGGTGAGCTTGGCCTGATAAAGGCAAATCATAAAGACTATCCATTGTATGAGGGGATATAATGAAGCACTATAAAAGAGAACGTAGAATGTCAACAAAGGCATACATTAACAGTAAGTAATGCTTCTGTTGGCTGTCTAAGTAATACAATGTGTTAAGTTGTGTGTAGCCTAATAACCCCCAGTCACTCACAGACACACCACCAGCCCCCTTCCTCAATGTCAGTGTTGACTCAGGACTTCCACCACTTCTACACCTGCCATTTAGCTCTTACCCTCTCTGGCAATCACTAACTAAGCTCAAATCTGGGGCTCAAACTTTTCTCTCTGCTCTGAGCAACTAAACTACACGCACAGGCAGACAGGCAGACAGACAGACACAGGCAGACAGACAGGCAGACAGGCAGACAGGCAGGCAGGCATGTGAGTAGACACCGAAGCTGTCAACCCCATAATGACCCTGGCCTGCCTGTGACGGTGATGACGAGGGGGGGGGGCGACCTGACTGACGGCACGTGTCAGCGGGGAGGATAGGAGAGTTGTGTCAGGGCTGTCACATGACCTACACAGGGTCGTCACAGGATCGATTACATGCCAGAGCTGTGGAGGCTTGCTGCTGGTGATGGATTGAGAGAGAGGGGTGTGTGTGTTTGTGTGTGTGTGATGTGTGTGACTGTGTGTGTGTGTGTGTGTGTGTGTGTGTGTGTGTGTGCGTGCGCACGCACATGTGCTTCTACTGTTTGTGTGAAGGGATAATTACTTACTTCCCAGCCAAGCACCAGATTTAGGCCCCCTGTCTAAGGTCTCTCCACTGTCAGTCTACAGCTCAGGAGTACTGTGTTTAAGCATTTCATTCCTGATGCTGTCAGGGCCACATGCCTTTCCAGGTTTAAGGCTTTGTATTTTTTTGAAAAGTTCAGCATGTGTAAATTGGTAGTCAATTGGATTCTGGTTGTTTTTAAATGTATGTTCTAGGGAGCTGAATTTTTCTTGCATATTTTGGGGGTTTAAAGTAAGGTCTTCTGATGGTATTATTCCAGAGAGACTTTCAAAATGATCTTTCCAAATGTTGCCATTTTGAATGGCTAGGTCATTCCTCTGTTTTACATCTAGACCATTCCATTTCTCCCAGAACTGGTTTCCATCAACAGTCTTCAATCTCTTTCAGAATGTTCTCAGAATGTTTCTGTTTCTGCCATCTTATGTTTTGTTTGTATCCTTTCAATGTGACACAATATTCTTGCCGAACGTCTCTATACTGTGATTGGTGATGTTTTCTATTTGATAAAGATCTACATTTTTTCCGTATGAGATTATATTCAGCATCAAACCATTTCTCTTTTTGAGGTTTCCAATTCGAACAGTTCTTTATTTTGCATAAATGTGCTATTGTGGCTGCTTTATGATGGATCTCATTTAATTTATTCACAGCCAAATTTATGTCAGGGAGGTTTGGCCTGAATGTACTTGAAAGGAAATCATTGATTCAGGTTGTAATTTCTGGGCAGGGCAATGCTGTGTTGAAGTGTGTTGCACTGTCAGGGGCCCATCTGTATGTTTTATTTACATTAATCAGTGTACAGGACTCTGTTTGTGTGGTCTTTGGGTGGAGAACTATTTTCAAAAAGACAATCTGGCAGCAGTCAGACAATGGTGTCTGTGGTCTGACAGTGAATGCACTAATGGAGGAGGGATCCAAGTCTGAGATTGCATAGTCAACAACACTAGTCCCAAGAGTTGAGCAGTAGGTGAACCTTCCCAAAGAATCCCCTCTAATCCTACTATCGTATCTGAAGATTATGTCTTTGTTAAATGTTTTTCATGACGAAATGGAATGTTGGTTGTTCAGGCCAAAGGGGGGATGTTTTATGATGTTATTTGAAATGTGCCGCTTGGAGGGTGACGCCCGAGGGGAGACTGGTGATTGGCCAGAAGAGGGAGTAGCCCCTCCCTTTGCATTGTTTATAAATAGGGGGTAAACGATGAGACGGCAGAACGACCATATCAATCTGGGGAGTCGTTCTCCAGGCAACGCGTGTCTGTAATTTATGCTGTAACCTCGTGGTATGAATAAAAACTTCTGACACGATGCAGCATAACGGACTTTTTGTTGACAGCGATAATTGCCACCACTCATCATATACGACATAATGGCGCCCAACGTGGGGCTGGTTTTGCGTCTCTTCCTTGTTTCAGTCAACCGCCGGCCTAACTCTCTCTGAAGCATGGCCGAAAAAGGGTGAGTGTGTTCTTACCGCTTCGGAGTTTGTTAGATTGGATATGACTTGTGTACATTGAAGAGATGTTCCATTATAACCTGGCCTCAGGTGGCGTTGTTGCTGGTCGACTGGAGTCTGATAAAATGTTATTTCATTGGTAACTATAGACAATGATAATTTATTTCATTGGTAACGGATGGCAATGAGGATTTAGAGCATAAATTTATATTTCATTGGTAACTATGGGCAATGACAAATTTAGAGCAAAAGGAACGGTATGATTGGTAAATTATTTCATTGGTAACTATGGTCAATGGTTGGTAAATTCAGATATGCGCATTCTTTAGAGCATTGCAGGTTTAGATAAGCCCTCGTGACGAACGGGGCGACCGCAGGGTGGGCCAAAATCCTGGAAATGCATTAGGAGTTTCCAGGTCAGTCTGGGACTGGGGTTGGTGGGACATTTCTTGGGGATGGCTTACTCAACTTCTGTTCGACGGGATAGTTGCATTGGGGGGGATCGCTCACTGAAATAGCCATATCCACGGCAGAATAAATTTAGGGCAAACGAAACAGTACTCAATTAAAGGAACGCAATGCTGGGTTTTGTTACATGTTGTAGGCAGCAGTTAGCAATGGCTAACTGCTAAATGCTAAGTGTGTTGTGTGCTACATGATAACTGTAACCTTAGAGGTCCACTGCGATGGATTCAAGCCTCTTAAACTTGTTTGTATGTGGTGGAGCTGAATGTTCTACGCAAATGTGAGCTCTGTTATGTGTAATTGTGTGAGTATAAGGTATAAAATGGTGAAACTGTAGCGTAATGCTATCGGTCTATGGTGTGGGAAGCATGGCTTTAAAATTGGTTGTGCGCAGGTGCGTGTGATTTTACGGGGCTAAAAACTACAACATGTGGTTATGTGCTAAGCCTACAAAGCACGGCATTATGGGTAAGGGTCATAGGTCCCATGTGGGGGGGGGGGGTCGGAAGGATTGATAATCATGGACAATGATTGGGCCGCGGTGTGGGGTGTTCATTTGTATAGCTAGTAGGCTGCAGTTAGCTGGAGGTTGGTGTTAATGCTGGATGGTTTCAGGCCACGTGGTGCCTCGTGGCTAAATGCTAAATGCTAATGCTTAAGGCTAAAGGCTAATTTTTGTAAGGCTAAAGTGTGAATCATGCTACATCATGGTGGCTGAGGTGGATGCTAGTGCTAATTGGGTTTTGTGCCACGGTGTACCTTAGGCTAAGCTAAAGGCTAATGCTACAGGCTAATTGTGTTGCGTGCTACATGCTAACGGATATCCTTAGAGATTCCGTTGCGACGGGTGAAAGTCTCTTAAACTTGTTTATGTGTTTGTAAGTCAGGTTATATGTTTTGTGAGCGCTGTTAAATGTTGTTTGACTATAAGGGGGAAATGGGAAGTTACAGCTGGCTGTTATTCTTTCTGTTTGGGGAGAGAGAAGAGAGAATCTTTCTTCCACGGTGAAAAGGGGTTTTTGAATGGTTGTGCGCATGCGTTTAATGTTGCGACACTACACTACAGAAAGGGGAGTTTATGGCACGAGGTTAGGGAACGTTTTGGTTTACGGCACTAAATCTACGACATGCGGTCGACGAAACAAATAGGCACAGGGAGAGTTTAAGATGAAACTTGTCTTGGGACCTATTGAATTTATAAATTAGATATATGGTAGCGGATTATAATACATTTAATTAAATAATTAAATAACGGATTAAAATTAAAAAAAAGGTTTTTGAGCGATCTATTCGTCCTGAGTTAAAGTCTTAGAGCGAATGTAAAACGGACGAATATTGAATGTGGATAACTTGGTTAATTGCATAAACTGCTGAAATCGTGTGTGTTTCTATGTTTTTGTGAAATATGAGAGGAACATGGAACGGCGAGACGAGAGAGAGAGAAGGGGCTGACTGTGTGCGTCACGAACAAGGTGTGACGAGGCAGACGAGAGGATCGGATCAGGCTAGTACACAAACTCATCCTAACAGAATATGTGATGTTATGACGAGTTTACATGGGCTTGGCAAATACTATTTCATTAAAAATTGCATTTTGGAAGCTCTGTATCACTGGGGTTTAATTACAGATGTGTTGGGAATCCAGGATGGATTGAGGATTCTTCTGTAAATTTATGATAATTAGAGCTATAGAGCAAGGGGGTTTATGGGGATTGTAGTATTGAAGGGTTAGAGGCTTTGTTTTTGGGATTGCTTTGAAGATGACTAACTTGCATTTACTTGCATTGGATGGGTTGTGGTAATATACTCAACACTAATGGATAAGGTGGTGACATAGGATATAGGAATAAAAATTGGTTTTAATTATTCATGATTTTTTAATTGACTTATTTGGATTTATTTGGAGTTGTTAGGTTATATTAAGAATTACAGGGGGGAAGGCTACATAAGCTATATAGTTTAAAATAGGATAGTTCACAATAAAGGAATAGAAAGGCTTGGTACAATGGGGTAAAAAAAAAAAATAATAATAATAAAAAATATCAGGACTAGGAAAGTCAGTACACCGGTTGATATAGTGCATAGTGGTAATCCTTTAACTAAAGTGTTGCTAGGGTATCCGGCAAGTGAAACAAAAGTTGCCCTTCATTCTCAAACAGAAATTGATAAAATAGGTTTAGAAAGTAGAGCTTAGGGATGTTTATTCTCAGCTTACAATGATTATCCAGGAGTGATTATTGCATCAGAAATATAGAGTAATAATAGATAGGGTACCAGCAGAAACAACGATGAAGATGAATTCAAAACTCCAGAAGGAAGAAGAACCGACATGTCTGGAAACGAAGAGAAGGAGGTTCAGAAAGATGAAGATGAAGAGAAGAAAAACTGATGAAGAAAAGGATCCCAACAATAGGAGATGTCTGGAACGTGAAGAGGATGATGAAGATGATATTTCAAGGACAGAACTTAGAAGATAACCTTTTGAAGAATACTGATAGGTCCACAACGAGAAGAACCGGACGAAGAAAACTCTATCAAATACAACTTATAACTGGTGGTGGAGAAGAAGAAAATAAGTGTTGGTTATGAAGAATCAGAGTGAATCAAATCAACAATCACTGTTACAGCTTTAACTGAACAATATCAAAGGCAATTGTACCAACCAAGGGGGGACCAGATGTTCCATATCGACTGTCAGTTTCTGGACAGACACAGAATTGGAGAAGAAGAAACAGAGGAAGATCAACGAGCAAGTGAAGATCACCGGTGCTTCAGGTGAACACTAAATATTCTAGAGTGCCGAGAATATCCGGAAGGGGTGCATTGCTGAGAGCCTTGATTAGAGAAGAAGAGAAAATAGCTAACAGTTGAAACAACCGACATTTAGAAGTGATAGTGAATAGGGGAAAACTTATCTGTGTTCAGCCTAAAGAGGTTAAACATCTCACTAATTGATAACTACTTAGGATAGGGATTTGAGGTAGTACTTACTCTTAAGGTACTAATATTAGAAGATACTGTTATTGTAGTGTTGGGAAGAGAATTGAAGCGTACAATAAAATGTACACTAGACGACTGACTGTCTGGTAGAATATTTTAAAAAGTAGGGTTTGTGGGAATCATTTGCTTAAAAGATAATATCCTAGGAAGGATGATAATGTATTAGATTGCCTGTTAGACAATCTGTCTGGGAAAAAACTTAATACGCGTGACTGTTATTTTGGGTTACATTCTTACACTAAGAGATTTGAGGTTAGGCTAAAAGGTGTTTAGTCGGTTTTGCCAAGTCTGTGTGTAATGAGTCAGAAGCAGGTGGGGAACTTTCCCAATCACATATTCCAAAAATTTGGTGGTAAGCGATTTTGTCAATAGATCAGGGGAAAAGGTTTTAACTGTTATGAGAGAATAGATTAGATTAAAATAAGTTAGGGGTAGGCTAGGTTGAAGGGACTCTGAGACAGTAAGCTAAGTTTCAAAGTTAGTAGTAAGACAGAGAGAGAACAGTGAGGAAGGACATTTTAAAGTTTAGTGGGAAGATATGGTAGGAGTTTAAATCGGTTAGGAGCAGATGCATTGAGAAAGTATGTGTTGCTGAATGATTTGAGGGTGATTGAGTATCTATATTTACAGTTTCCAGCAGGGAGATCAATGTCATTATAGGTGTATTTTGTGTAATCAAAAGTTTAAAGTTTAGAGGTAGAACTGAAAGGGGGAAAAAGTGACACTAGGGGTGATGGATGGAAGTACAAGGAAAGAGTTCAGAGCTTAGGGGAAAACTAGGGATGAGGTAGTAACAATAATGACATCAACACGTGAGTCTATTAAAATAACAGGTAGAAGTAATTTAACTCTTTCAACATTGATAGTTATTAAAGCCATAAATATAGCGCATTTGATTAAGGGTCCAGCATCAATTATAGGGGGAAAATACTGTTATGAGGGGTAGGAGAATAATAATTATAATATGCCATTTAGGATGATGACGTTTCTTTCACAGAGAGAGAGAGAGAGAGAGAGAGATAATTATGGAGAATAAGTATTGTTATGAGGACCAGGAGTAGAAGGAGGTATAGTTTGGAATAGGGTTAGGAGTGACTGTTCACTTATGTTGCGTAATATTATAGAGAAAGGTTAGGGAGAATATATGTGTACTTATCTAGTGCAAGCATTAGAAGTTGTTCTGGTTAAGAATTATTGGTTAAAGGGCTATGTAATTTGTAAGGTGATGCTTATAACGGAAGATTTGAAGTCTGTAAAACTTTCCACAGTCACAGAGGGAGTTAAGGATAAGTTTATTACAGTAGTCACTCCAACAGGGAATAATCGAATAGGATGTTGGTAGTTTCCCACTAGAGGGAATTAAGGGTTTTAATTCATCAACTAAATCAACAACGTTAATGGTAACTTTGGAAGGGATTAATGATACGATGGTAATAGCAAATGTAGGAAGGATGACAACAACTTTTCTGAAATTAAAGGAGGCAGCAAGAGAGACTCAGGGGTTTAGGTTATTACGAATAGGGTTAAAAAAGGAGAGCAGATATTAATAGAAACAATATAGATTAATCTGAAATGGAGAATAGAGATTCATCATGGAAGCTGCAGGATGAGGTCTTTTGATTTTGATGACGGAGGGGGGGGCATCTGATCAGTGCTGCTCGTTCCTCTGTTGTGGAAATTAGAGATAGATTAACTCATTCTGTAAGAATCAGTGAGGAATCTTGAGGGTCCATGTCTGTTGAGAATTCCATCCCAAAACGTGTTAGACGGTCGCGCGGCCTCTGGCAGGTGTGGGTAAGTGTTATGCTTTGTCATGACTGTGGTATCGGCAACAGTCATTGACCGATAAAATAATGTAGTTGTCAGACCAGTAGGGTTTAAGTGTTCTTGGGTGAAGGGATTACCCTATGAGCATTGGTTAGAGGGAAAGGACAATCAGATAACAACGGAACCCTGAAGTATTCAGGTGAAATATTGAGGGATAAAAGTTGTTTTTGCTCTAATAAAACATATGAGGTAAGGGGTATGTTTATGGGAAGATCAGTGTGATAAATTTGGATAAGCATAACCTTAAGGGTAGTAATGACAAATAATAGGTTACTTTTTATATATCAGGTAGTAAGAAGAGCAGGACTATATTCTTACCCTATGGGGGATAGGATGTTGTTACAGGTCAACGTTGAAGCTTCCATAGGAGGTTTTACCATTATAAGAGGGATAGCATTGGACACAGCTAAATCTAGGGTTAAAAGGGGGACATTACATTTACATTTCAGTCATTTAGCAGACACATGGCGACATGTCATAGTCTTCAAGCCTATCATTGAAGAATAAGTTTAAGGGAGAAGGGGGGACTTCATTCATGGTATGGTGTAACATTTGGGAAGATAATATTGATAAATATTAGTTATACTGTGAGTCCAGATAGTTCAGATAATATCACTGGGGTTATAGATGCATTATGAGGGATGCATTTGAAAGGATTTGGTTGCAAGATCAATTAGGCCAGTAGGGGCAGTGATGGGTCAGATTCTAGTTTAAGCTTTGATAACACTGTGATGTTTGTACTGACTTTTGAGAAAGTTATGAGATTGAGATAGGTTGGAGAAGTGGTGCCTGGAGACAACACTCAGATGCCGGTGTTGACTGTTCCGGATCTGAACGAAGACGGACGAGGGGGTCTAGATGGACTACTGAATGGATAAATATCCTTTTTGATTATTTGATCATTTTATTTTTATTGTTTCAAGGAAAACATTTTTTTTAGTATGATTTTAGTATGATTTATGAATCAAGGGGGGGATAGGTTAATGTGATTCATACATCATTTATGCATCATTTATGTATCATTTTTTAAATTCTTAGGGGAAATGGAGGTTTAATTTGAAAGTGGTTGTTTTGCAAAGGATACTGTTTGGTCGGTTATTTTCTTGTCATTCCAGAAGCATGTGGGAGAACATGTGGAGATTGGAATACTCAAACAAAGACAATATGAAGGGACAATATGACTGGAGGAGATGAAACCAGGAGGGTGTGGCTGATTCCATCATCAACAAGTCCATTGGAAGAGGACACTACAGGGAGAGGAAGTGTAGTGGACTACATTCCAGTGTCTGCAATGAAATATAGACATATTTGATGTGTAATACATAATTGTGTCATATTCTTAGGTATTGATTTTAGTAGAATGATGTTTGATGTTATTGAATGCAGATGAGGATCTTAGATGCTTTTGTTTATTTCGATGGGGTTAGGGACAGAAGGTCTAGGAAGGGAGAGATTCATTGTACGATTCGATGGGTGGACCAGCCGTACAATGGATATTTATGGATAGGATTTTGTTTACATGTGTATTTAATGGCATCATAGTTTCAAATGCATTTACATGAGTTATGAGGTTATCTGGAGTACCGACGGTGGTTGCCTGGGGCAGAGGGACCGTGAGATAATTTTACTGTCTTGATTGATATGGATGGATGGCTGCTGGACAGTTTTTCGCTCTCACACTCCATAGAGATTTATTCATAATTCATAGTAATGTGTTCATACTTCATAAACAGTTGTTCATATGTCATAGTAATGTATTTACACTCCATAGAGATTTCTTCATAGGTCATAGTAATGTATTCACACTTCATAAACAGGTATTTCATAGAAAGGTATTTACACTCTAGAGGAGAATGTTTTTGGGTTTAAGGTTAAGAATATTCAATGAGATAAATGGTTAATAGTCATAATCTTATTCTGTTTGTTTTCGAGACGTTTATTTCGTCTCGAAAGGGGGGAATATCGTATCTGAAGATTATGTCTTTGTTAAATGTTTTTCATGACGAAATGGAATGTTGGTTGTTCAGGCCAAAGGGGGGATGTTTTATGATGTTATTTGAAATGTGCCGCTTGGAGGGTGACGCCCGAGGGGAGACTGGTGATTGGCCAGAAGAGGGAGTAGCCCCTCCCTTTGCATTGTTTATAAATAGGGGGTAAACGATGAGACGGCAGAACGACCATATCAATCTGGGGAGTCGTTCTCCAGGCAACGCGTGTCTGTAATTTATGCTGTAACCTCGTGGTATGAATAAAAACTTCTGACACGATGCAGCATAACGGACTTTTTGTTGACAGCGATAATTGCCACCACTCATCATATACGACACTACCATTTAAAAAATACAGGCCTAAGGCTCGACAGAGATGCACTAACTCCTTTACATTTTTGTTCACTACCTGGTCAGGGCTATTTCTATTACTAGTGATGGGACTCGGGTATAAGCCAAATATACGCTACCAGTCAAATGTTTGGACAAACCTACTCATTCCAGGGTTTTTCTTTATTTTTACTATTTTCTACATTGTAGAATAATAGTGAAGACATCAAAACTATGAACTAACACATATGGATTAATGTAGTAACCAAAAAAGTGTTAAACAAATTAAAATATATTTTATATTTGAGATTCTTCAAATAGCCACCTTGATGACAGCTTTGCACACTCTTGGCATTCTCTCAACCAGCTTCACCTGGAATGCTTTTCCAACAGTCTTGAAGGAGCTCCCACATATACTGAGCACTTGTTGGCTGCTTTTCCTTCACTCTGCCGTCCGACTCATCCCAAACCATCTCAATAGGGTTCAGGTCGGGGGATTGTGGAGGCCAGGTCATCTGATGCAGCACTCCATCACTCTCCTTCTTGGTAAAATAGCCCTTACACAGCCTGGAGGTATATTGGGTCATTGTCCTGTTGAAAAACAAATGATAGTCCCACTAAGCCCAAACCAGAAGGGATGGCGTATCGCTGCAGAATGCTGTGGTAGCCATGCTGGTTAAGTGTGCTGTGAATTCTAAATAAATCACAGACAGTGTCACCAGCAAAGCACTCCCACTCCATAACACCTCCTCCTCCATGCTTTACCGTGGGAAACACACATGCGGAGATCATCCGTTCACCCACACCGAGTCTCACAAAGACACGGCAGTTGGAACCAAAAATCTCAAATTTGGACTCCAGACCAAAGGACAAATTTACACCGCTCTAATGTCCATTGCTCGTGTCTCTTGGCCCAAGCAGGTCTCTTCTTCTTATAGGTGTCCTTTAGTAGTGGTTTCTTTGCAGCAATTCGACCATGAAGGCCTGATTCAAACAGTCCCCTTTGAACAGTTGATGTTGAGATGTGTCTGTGACTTGACCTCTGTGAAGCATTTATTTGGGCTGCAATTTCTGAGGCTGATATCTCTAATGAACTCATCCTCTGCAGCAGAGGTAACTCTGGGTCTTCCATTCCTGTTGCGGTCCTCATGAGAGCCAGTTTCATCATAGCGCTTGATGGTTTTTGCGACTGCACTTGAAGAAACTTTCAAAGTTCTTGAAATGTTCCGTATTGACTAACCTTCATGTCTTAAAGTAATGATGGACTGTCGTTTCTCTTTGCTCATTTGTGCTGTTCTTACCATAATATGGACTTGGTATTTTACCAAATAGGGATATCTTCTGTATACCCACCCTACCTTATCACAACAAAACTGATTGGCTCAAATGCATTAAGAAGGAAAGAAATTCCACAAATTAACTTTTAAGAAGTCATACCTGTTAATTGAAATGCATTCCAGGTGACTACCTCATGAAGCTGGTTGAGAGAATGCCAAGAGTGTGCAAAGCTGTCATCAAGGCAAAGGGTGGCTATTTGAAGAATCTCAAATATAAAATATATTTTGATTTGTTGTGGTGAGGGGATGGACGGAGTCAGGCACAGGAGTGTGAAGAAGGAAAATGCTTTATTCAGCCCAATAAGGTAATGTTTTTGTCTGCAGCAATGCGTAAACACGATCCCAGTGCGACTTAAATGCGTACTGGGAACCAACATTTACAGGTAAATATTCCCGGCGATAAAATAACAAAAATGCTCAACCGAGCTAGCGATACCTCCACAAAGTAACAATCACACACAAAGACAAGGGGGGCAGAGGGAATACTTATACAGGTACTGATGAGGGGATATGAACCAGGTGTGTGTAATAAACAAGACAAAACAAATGGAATGTTGAGATGAGGAGCGGCAGTGGCTAGAAGGCCGGTGACGACGAACGCCGAAGCCTGCCCGAACAAGGAGAGGAGGCAGCTTCGTAGGAAGTCGTGACATTTGTTTAACACTTTTTTGGTTACTACATGATTCCATATGTGTTATTTCATAGTTTTGATGTCTTCACTATTATTCTACAATGTAGAAAATAGTAAAAATAAAGAAAAACCCTGGAATGAGTAGGTGTGTCCAAACTTTTGACTGGTACTGTATGTCTGTTACCCTCAGGGTCTACTATACATCCAGGTTCAGAACCTGTTCTACCATTAAAATCCCCACACAAAAGCACATTTCCCTCAGCTTGAAACTGGTTGGTCTCTCTTTGGAGATTATCATAAAACTGAACATCATATTAAGATGAATCTGAGGGAGAAGCATTCACTGCACCTATATATAAATCATTGTCACTAAGGATTATGCCTTTGTTGAGTTTTAAACAAATGTGGGTGTTACCCTTTTTGATTTTGCACAGTGAAAGCTCCTCTTTATACCATATGATCATTCCTCCCGAGTCCCTGCTGTGATTTATGTTTTAATGATGGAAGTAGAATGTCCCTGAAGGACATTGAGTATCTATGTTACCACGACACCATGTTTCTATAAGTATTATTATGTATTGACCTTTGGTAGAGGAGTACAAACCTTGGATATTTCATATAAATATCTATATATATATCATTTGGTTAGAGTAAAGTACATAGGAAATTAATACACAAGCAAATATAGAACAGGAAACTCCAAACGTGTGTGTGTTTGTGGAGGTGTGTGGGTGTGTGTGTGTTTGTGGAGGTGTGTGGGTGTGCGTGTGTTTGTGGAGGTGTGTGGGTGTGTGTGTGTTTGTGGAGGTGTGTGGGTGTGTGTGTGTTTGTGGAGGTGTGTGGGTGTACGTGTGTTTGTGGAGGTGTGTGGGTGTGTGTGTGTGAGGAGGTTTTTTGGGTTTGTTTGTGTTTGTGTAGTTTTGTGGGTGTGTGTGTGATTTGTGTCGGTGAATTTGGGATAGTGTGTGTGTTTTGTGGGCGTGTGTGGGTTTTCGTGTTCTTTTTTTTCTGTTATGTGGGTGTTGCGTGGTTTTTTGGCGGTTGTGGGTGTGTGTGTCGTTGTGGCGGTGTGTGGGTGTGTGTGGTGTTTGTGGCGTTGCTGTGGGTGTGCGTTGTGTTTTGTGGCTGTGTGTGGGTTGTGTGTGTGTTTTGGTGTCGGTGTTGTGGGTGTGCGTTTGTTTGTGCTGTGTGTTGGTTGTGTGTTTTGTGTCAGGTGGGTGGGGGTGTTGTGGGTGTGTTTGGTGGGAGGTGGTGGGTGTGCGTGTGTTTGTGTTTTCCAGCAGTTGATGTGACTGAGGATATAGAGTCTGGTATGTGTGTTGTATTATGTGAGTGGTTGATGCACCCGAACAATACTAAGACTAAGTGCACCAACCACTCCCAACAGTGCACCAACCCCGCCCAACAGTGCACCAACCACTCCAACAGTGCACCAACCACTCCAACAGTGCACCAACCACTCCAACAGTGCACCAACCACTCCAACAGTGCACCAACCACTCCAACAGCGCACCTACCACTCCAACAGTGCACCAACCACTCCAACAGTGCACCAACCACTCCAACAGTGCACCAACCACGCCCAACAGTGCACCAACCACGCCCAAAACAAGAGTGAATGTTGTGCTGTGTGTGTTTCAACTAAGAGCATTCTTCAGTAGCAGGAAAGAAAAATTATATAAATAGACAACAGGAAAATTATAACATGTGAAAAGTGTTGACTATATCTTCATGTCATTTCAGAACGTGAAACTAATTTCTCTTTTATATTATACACTGAGCATACCAAACATTAGGAACACCTCCTAATATTGAGTTGTACCCCCCCAACCTCACTTTAGCCCTCAGAACAGCCTCAATTCGTCGGGGCATGGACTCTACAAGGTTTCAAAAGTGTTCCACAGGGATTCTGGCCCATGTTGACTCCAATGCTTCCCACAGTTGTGTGAAGTTGTCTGGATGTCCTTTGGGTGGCGAACCATTCTTGATACACACGGGAAACTGTTGAGCGTGAAAACCCAGCAGTGTAGCAGTTCTTGACACAAACCGGTGCGCCTGGCACCTACTACCATACCCCGTTCAAAGGCGCTTACATTTTTTGTCTTACCCATTCACCCTCTGAATGGCACACACACAATTCCAATTGTCTCAAGGCTTAAACATCCTTATTTTACCTGTCTCCTCCCCTTCATATACACTGATTGAAGTGGATTTAACAAGTGACATCAATAAGGGATCATAGCTTTCACCTGGATTCACCTGGTCAGTCTATGTCATGGAAAGAGCAGGTGTTCTTAATGTTTGGTATACTCAGTGTAGAATGAATGTTTTCTGATAAGGTCCAATACATTGGCTTATGCTTATTCTAGGAGTTTGCACATCAGCTTTAGCAGTTGACGCACCTCTCCGATGGCTGAAGGGTCTATATGACTCTTACCGGAGTCATATGTGGGCTGCAGTGAGGCTGAGGTATGGTCTGGGCTGGGATACCCTCCTGTTGGCCACTATTTGTCCTACCCCTAGAGTACAGTCCAGTGCTGTGAAGGGTTGTGTCGGCCTGAGATTTCTCTCTCTCTCTCTCTCTCTCTCTCTCTCTCTCTCTCTCTCTCTCTCTCTCTCTCTCTCTCTCTCTCTCTCTCTCACACACTCACATGCTCCCCATTCCTGCTTTTCTCCGCTCTTCCCTCTTACCTCACTGAAGGGGTATATTTTATTGAAGGAAAGGTTATAAATATTGGAGGATGTTTCAGCGTGACTTCAAAGGCTTCCACAGTGCTGTGCGCTGGGTGCTGAGAGACCCATCCCTGTCACAGTGTCTCCTTTTCAGAGCAGAGGTAATGAGTCGAGGCACTGAGTTGGAATGGAGAACCTGAGGAGTTTCCATAGAAGTAGGATTACTAGAACAGATATTCACATTCAATTCTATTTCTATGGAAGCTTCGGTGTCGATAGACAGAGGATAGCGGGTTCTGACCAGTCATATGGGTATGTGCACTGATAGGGTCAGAAACCAACTGTACACATAGCGCAGGTACTCTCATGCATAGAGAATCTCACATACATTAATTGATGTGGTATACAAAATGACTCTGTCAGAAGATACTGCAATTCAAGCTGTGCTGTGTGAGAATCTGAATAAAACACAAATTCATCCCCTTAGGACGGTTCTTCCTTCTCACAATATTGCAGTACTGTTTGTAGTCAACATTTTCAGGGTATACAGTGAAAGCATTTCTCTACAGTGCAATATCACTTAGGTCCCCTTTATTTGTTGTTCCTGATGCAAAGGCATTTGAGCAATAAGGCCTGCTTCAGCAGAATTGCACCCAATGGACCAAAAGCTGAGCACATTAAAAAGTGAGTCAATGATTGTTGGTGTAGATTTCAGTCTCAATTCTTCTCAGCAAGGGTAAGAGCATCCTTCTACTGGAGACAGGGAGAGCTCATATCTTAAAAAGATCTGGCAAAATGTACAGAATTTACAGTGCCTTCAGAAAGTATTCACACCCCTTGACTTTTTCCACATTTAGTTATGTTACAGCCTGAATTCAAAATGTACTAAATTGAGATGTTTTGTCACTGGCCTACACACAATACCCCATAATGTCAAAGTGGAATTATGTTTCAAAATGTGTATAAATGAGTTACAAATGAAAAGCTGAAATGTCTTGAGTCAATACGGATTTAACCCCTTTGTTATGGCAAGCCTACATAAGTAAACTTGCTTAACAAGTCATAATAAGTTGCATGGACTCACTCTGTGTGCAATAATGGTTTTTAACATGATTTTTGAATTACTCCCTCATCTCTGTACCCCACACATACAATTATCTGTAAGGTCCCTCAGCCTAGCAGTGAATTTCAAACACAGATTCAACCACAAAGACCAGGGAGGTTTTCCAATGCCTCGCAAAGCAGAGCACCTACTGGTAGATGAGTAAAATTTTTAAAAATAAGACATTGAATATCCCTTTGAGCATGGTGAAGTAATTACACTTTGGATGGTGTATCAATACACCTAGTTACTACAAAGATACAGACGTCTTTCCTAACTCAGTTGCCGGAGAGGAAGAAAACCTCACCATGAGGCCAATGGTGACTTTAAAACAGTTACAGAGTTTAATGGCTGAGATAGGAAACAACTGAGTATGGATCAACATCATTGTAGTACTCCACAATACTAACCTAATTGACAGAGTGAAAAGAAGAAAGCCTGTACAGATTATTTTGTGATTTTTTTTTATGCATCCGGAATGCAGTAAGGCACTAAATTAAAACTGCAAAAAATGTGGCAAAGAAAGGAACTTTATGTCCTGAAAACCCCCCGATGTTTTAGGCAAATCCAACACAACACATCACTGAGTACCACTCTTCATATTTTTGAGCATGGTGGTGGCTGCATCATGTTATGGTTATGCTTGTCATCGGCAAGGACTAGGGAGTTTTTTTAATGATAAAAATAAACGGAATAGAGCTAAGCACAGGCAAAATCCTAGAGGTAAACCTGGTTCAGTTTGCTTTTCAACAGACACTGGGTGTCACGACTTCCTCCGAAGCTGCCTCCTCTCCTTGTTCAGGCAGGCTTCGGCATTCATCGTCACCGGCCATCTAGCCACTGCCGCTCCTCATTTCATTATTCCATTTGTTTTGTCTTGTTTATTACACACACCTGGTTCATATCCACTCATCAGTACCTGTATAAGTGTTCCCTCTGCCCCCTTGTCTTTGTGTGTGATTGTTTATTGTGGAGGTTAGAGAAGCTCAGTGGAGCTCCGTATATTTTGTATTGCCGGGAATATTCCCTATGTGCTTTGTTGTTTCCAGTGCGCACTGGAGTGTTTTGACACATTACTGCGTAACTCTGTGTTTCGGAACAAATCCTGTTATTCTGTGATTTACCCTCCTGCGCCTGACCTCCTGAGCAAGACATGGAGTCAGCAGGAGAGGAGCACATGCCTGGAGTTGTGGCGCGGGTCCGGGAGCATTCTATGATGCTAGCCAGCTTGGGAGAAGCGATGGATTGGGTTCTCCAGGTCGTCCAACGTCTGGAGAGGAGAGAGCCGATCTTTCGGGACCAGCTGAGCGATCGGATCCAGCCACCCACACCCCAGCACCCAGAGGGATTCATATATTCCGACCAAGGGATTTTGACAGCACAGCTGCCCACTGCCAGGGATTCTTTCTGCAACTGGATCTATACTTCTCGACCATCAGCCCGGCTCCATCGGAGAGGGAGAAGGTGTCCGCCCTCGTCTCCTGCCTCTCTGGAAAAGCCCTGGAGTGGGCCAACGCGGTTTGGAGTGAAGGAGGAGCTGCGTTGGACAACTACGGGGAGTTCACTTGCCTCTTCCGGGCCGTCTTCGATCACCCGCCCAAAGGTAGAGAGGCGGGCGAGCGGCTGGTCCACCTGAGGCAGGGGAAGAGGACCACGCAGGACTTTGCCCTGGAGTTTCGTACTCTAGCGGTTGGGTCTGGGTGGAACGAGCGGGCCCTCATCGACCACTTCCGGTGCCACCTGCGAGAGAACGTCTGATGGGAGCTAGCCTGCCGGGACATCACGTTGTCCTTCAATAATCTGGTGAACATGGCCATCCGGTTGGACAACCTGCTGGCGTCTAGAGGACGTCCTGGAAAGGGTCTGCCCGTTTCACACCCCCCCCAACCCGGATCACGAGATGATGGATATGGGTGGTGCGGCGATCCGGGAGAGCGGAGGACGACAGTGCCAGTGTCACTCTTGTGGCACGAGAGGACATTCTACTGCACGCTGTCGTCAGCGTTCTTTTGGGTCTGGAGGCGGCAGGCAGGGCACTCTCGCATCACCCCAGGTATTGAACACCCACACTCGTTCAGAGCCCTCTGCTGCGCACTGTACCCTACACATCCACTTCCCTGATTACACAGTAGTTCCCCAGTTTAAGGCGCTGGTCGATTCAGGCGCAGCTGGGAACTTTATGAACAGGTCGTTAGCACATAGTCTAGGTATTACATTGGTTCCCCTATCCATTCCACTCCCCATCAGAGCACTTGACAGTCGGCCATTAGGGTCCGGGTTCGTTAGGGAAGTTACAGCACCAGTCACTATGGTTATGCACGAGACCCATTGAGAGCAAGTCACCTTTTTATTTATTGAGTCTCCTGATTTCCCTGTTGTGTTAGGTCTTCCCTGGTTAGCACTACACAACCCCACCTTTCTTGGCCGCAGAGGGTTCTCACGGGGGGGTCGCGAGAGTGTCAGGGTAGGTGTCTAGCTGTTTCCGTTGGTGCAACCACGGTGGAAACTCCAGACACTACCTCCACCATGCGCATTCCCCCCAAATACCTCGATTTGGCGCATGCGTTTTCCAAAACGCAGGCGACCAAATTACCACCTCATTGGGTGGGGGATTGCACGATAAACCTCCGGGTAGACGCTGTGCCTCCCAGGAGTCATGTGTATCCCCTGTCGCAGGCTGAAACGGAGGCTATGGAGACATACGTCTCCGAGTCCCTACGCCAGGGGTTTATCTGTCCCTCCACTTCGCCCGCCTCCTCAAGTTTATTTTTTGTGAAGAAGAAAGACGGAGGTCTGCACCCTTGCATTGATTACCGAGCACTGAACAAGGGGACAATACGTTATAGTTATCCTCTACCCCTCATTCCATCTGTAATCGAGTCAATGCATGGGGCGCGCTTCTTCACAAAATTAGATCTCCAGAGTGCCTGGTGCATGACCGAGAGGGGTACGAGTGGAAGACAGCATTCAGCACAACCACGGGGCATTACAAATACCTGGTGATGACGTACGGTTTGATGAATGCTCCATCTGTCTTCCAGTCCTTTGTGAACGAAGTGTTTCGGGACATGCTTGGTCGCGGTGTAGTGGTCTACATTGATGACATTCTGGTGTATTCTGCTATGCTCGCCGAGCATGTATCCCTGGTTCGCAAAGTGCTGGGCCGACTGTTGGAACATGACCTTTATGCCAAGGCAGAAAAGTGTCTGTATTTCCAACAGTCCGTCTCCTTCCTTGGATACCGCATAACCACCTCAGGTGTGGAGATGGAGGGAGATCGCATTTCATCCGTGCATAATTGGCCGACTCCAACCACGGTAAAGGAGGTCCAACGCTTTATTGGCTTTGCCAACTACTATCGGAGGTTTATCCAGGGCTTTGGCAAGGCACCTCAGCCCCGGTACTGGCCCATCCTGATCCATCACTACCGTTCGTAGTGGAGGTTGATGTGTCCGAGGTAGGGATAGGCGCTGTCCTATCTCAACGCTCGGGCACGCCCCCTAAGCTCTGCCCCTGTGCCTTCTTCTCCACGAAGCTCAGCCCGGTGGAGCAGAACTGCGACGTTGGTGATCGGGAGCTGTTGGATGTTGTCCGAGCCCTGACCGTGTGGAGGCACTGGCTCGAGGGGGCGAAACACCCTTTCCTCGTCTGGACGGACCACCGTAACCTGA